AGTAGATTTCACCCAACACCAGACCATATATTGAACTCAGGGCCCTCAAATCTTGAGGTGAAGATATAACCATTATAAAAATAGGTTGGAGATCAATGGTACAGTTTTGAATTCATTTAGTTTAATATGTAGTGTGTATATAACTCAATGCTACTGATGACAGATGTTTTACTATTGACATGTTTGAAATCCACTTCGTACTAACTTTCATTACAGCTTCAAGAAAATCTTGAAATAAGTTACTAGTGAGCTGACTATTATAGTTTAGATGAAAGGAGTTCGTGGTGACTGAGTTCATTTATAGGTTGATTGATCTTATAATGAAATAACTGTTCAATTCTTCCTAGTTTCCAATGTTATACCAAGTGAAACTAATCTGTGATAAATACAACTTACAATTAGAACTCCATATACTTTGATTATTGATTGTATTTTCATATCATTTTCTCAAAATTCTATTCACTCTTAACTTTGCACTGCTTAAAATATCATTATGTATCTGTATGAACAAAGGCCATATTTTGTTGACGATCTTTATGAAATGGTAGAGAAGATTTATAATGCACTTTTTTTCTCTGAGCTGGATGGTTTGGTCGTGGAGCTTTCATCGTTCTTCTGAACGACATCATCAGTACAAACTTCAGATAAGAGTGAAGTTTTCGAATTTCTTCACATGTGATTCACAGCTTGTCCTGCAAATCTTGATGTTGATTGGTTCTTGTTGACCTTAAACCTGTCATTGTTTACTTCTTTATTTTTGTTGTATCTCTCAATAACAGATTAGAGGTCAACAATAACCACTCAAGATCGAGGTCTATAAAACAACACTTCATTTCTACCAGAAGTTTGTGTTGATGATGTCGTTCAGAAGAACGATGAAAGCTTCACGACTAAATTATCCAGCTCAGAGAACAAAACTCCATCAAATCTTTATGGAAGTAAAAGAAATATGTTTGATTATGATTAATTAAGACAGAGCAAAATGAACTCGAACTATTTTAAGTCATGTAAAATAGGTTTATTAACTATGTGGGAGGTGTATTTTATGTAGATTTATGTATTTAACATTAGTATTGAAGATGTATGTTTTCTGTTGATTGATAATTCATTGAATTTCTTCTATTATGAACTACATTCTAACCATAAATCAAATTCCCTTTAAAAGAAGCTTCACCTTCTGTTATTAATTTCAATTTGATAACCAATAGAATAACAATGTTTTGGGTCATTAGGTATTATGATAATAAAGAACTGATATTCAGTAAATAAATAAGGTGATCCAATACTACTACTCAGGCTTTTCCATTTGTATTATAGTATTTAGTAGTATGTCAAGCCTATATGGGTTATTCTAGCTTCCGGGAAGATTGATTTATTTGTTCATTATGACTTACATTTTGACCTTGTCAATTATTCGCTTATAATCTTGATCGTTTTTATTTGAACGTATATGTGTCCATCATTTAATTTAATCACTTGTCTTTAGCTTATTTTCGTCTGACCGTAAATATTCAGTCACGCTCGACTAAATGAAGTTGGCACATTTGCTTATTCTGCTCTGCTTCACCGCTTTATTTCTCTGATTGTGTATTTGGATCAACGAGTGCATGAAATATACGTATCCAAAAATTCGTTCTCGTATTTCAATTAGTCCATTATTCGCTAACGCGAATCAAATCGCTAACGCGAATCAAATCGCTAACTATATACGAGGGTTGACGGCATGTATATTTCGTTGACATCATCATTTGATTTAATTGGAATCAGATAAACGAGTCATAAAAATATACCATTATCTTAAATTTATTTGACTTCTTATATGTTAAAACATGAATTGTGGTATACGCTACTTATGTCGACAGATATAGGTAGTATGCAACACCAACCGGAAGTGGGAAACCGGGCAGCAGAAGGCCAAGAAGATCAAGTTGGAGAGAAGACAGAAACGGAAATAGAAAGGGATTTCGACTTGGAAGAATCATACAGAATATGGAGGACAAACGATGGAATTCGCAAATGAAGTATTCAATGCATGGTCTCATATTTTAACGATTCTGTGTGTATTAAAATATGTTGATTGTCCCCACCTGTATTCACATTAATTGAAGAATGATTTAAAATAATATTTACTCTATGTTTTTATTGAGATCATGAACCGATAGATGTTAGACCACTATTGAAAACTTGGAAGTACTTAACAACCGTTCCGTGTTATTATGGGACTCCTCAGCAGTGCGCGTCCACAACCTCGCGCGCTGGAATTGAATCCAGGACCTTCGGTCTCTCACGCAAAGCTTAACCTCTAGATTATTGAGCTAACATCCAACGGTGTTAATGTCTAACTTCAATTGGAAGAATTCTGGAAACACTTTTTCTTATGATCGAACACATGCTCATCAGGTCTCTCGTAGACTTTGCTACTTTACACCATCACGTTCGCACCAAGTAGGTTTCATTTATGACTTCACTGGTAATGAATGATCGCGCAATACCAGAGAGTGAATTAAAGTCAATATACAAATGAGTAAACAGGGAGTTAGTGGCCTAAATGTAACTAGTTTGTCGCAAACTTGAATGATTTGGGTTTGATCCTTGGTAGGGAAGTGGGGTTATATTGTCGAAGGGTTCAATAAAAGGAATAAATGTTCATCAGTAAAGGGTTGTGGAGATTGTCAAGTTTAGATTGATATCTTGAATGGATCAATGGTTAAACCGCCACTGAGGACCTAGGAGCACTGGACAGCCCTTTCGCCCTAGTGCAGGAGTCTCAGTCGTGCGCACTCAAGATGCCGCGTATGGGCTTTGAAGCCGTGACCTTGCGCATGAATGCCTAACCTCTAGACCACTAAGCCGCCACTCAACGGTGTTAACGTCTATTGTTTTATTAATATCATTTTATAATGTATTACGCAATGTTCTGGTTGAATGATATAATTACTTATTGCTTTTTTCACGCACTTTAAGTTCACAACACTTTGGGTTTTAATCTTGTAATTTTTCTATTGAGATCATGAACCGATTGATGTTCGACCACCATTGAAAACCTGGAAGTACTGAACGACCGTTCCGTGTTATTATGGGACTCCTCAGCAGTGCGCCTCCACGATCCCGCTCGTGGGATCCCAACCCAGGGCATTCAGTCTCGCGCGCAAACGCTTAACCTACTGGACCTCTGGGGCGGCATCCGATGGTGTTAATGTCTAACCTTGTAATTTTGTTTAGTTTTCAGCTTGATAGACGCACAGATTGCATAACAAGTTATTTCAAGATCTATAAATGATAACTAACACCCGATCAGTTACCAATAACTTGAATTTGGAACGAATATATATATATATATATATATATAATATATATATATCGCTGCAAGTCGTTACAATTCAATTCAGTACAAATGAATAGGAAATTAACAAGAAGCATAGAATAGGTAGTAATAATAATAATACTAATAATGTCAGTTATGGTGGAACACTGAACTGGGATGATACTAAACTCATGATTTATGATAATGATATAAAATGAAAGCAGTTAAAACATCACAATTGATTTTTGTCATCACTCAACTTCACCAAAAGATTCTACGTTAAAAGTTCGAATGCTTTGATACAACTTATTCCAATACACGATAATCTCTTCATTTGATCATTCCTTATCTATTCCCAATTTATCATGGCATGAAGTAGGTGATAATCGAAGCATACGATAACTTCTTCCTTTTGTACTTTACATCTCTGAGGAACACAACCTGTAATTGTGAAGAATTATGGTTGATTGGAAACACAACTACATAGATGAAATTTTTATTAACCATAATACAAAGAGATAATGATTGGATGATTTATGCTGATTGATTTAAACGATAGAAATAATTGTCCAAATAGGATTATTCATACTACGTAGCAGTACGAAAAGAAATCTGAACATTCAGGTTTATTTTTATTTATTTATATAAACATATAAACACTGGTGCAAGAAGGCACCAAATATAGATGCACCACATAAATCATTTGATTTGTGTGGGAGCCAAGATACGGCCTGAGTGATCAGACCTAAGCAGTTGATTTTCTAAGAGAGCCACATCCAGAGCCTTTGACCTAAAGGTCCGTACGAATGTTTGCTATCACCTATTCTCGTATATCATCGTCGACTTAGATCGCGTTATCCAATAACGGAATTAAATAAGTCGAATAACGAGAATTGACTTGAGATACATATATTTCGTACATGAAGTGAATGAAGCACAGCAAAGCAAAAATGACACGTAGGAAGAGGCTGGAAGCCAACTCCTTTTAATCAAGCGTTACTCATATTTATAGGCAGACAAAAAAACTACAGACATGTGATGAGTCATGGGATATGAAGTGTACACACATACGCTCATATAAAAACAGTCAAGACTGATAAGCGAATAGATACAAGGTCAAATATGACTCAAGTAGAATGAATAGAATGGTTCGTCAAAAACTAGAATATAAGATATATGGGCTTAAAATAATGACTGACAGTCTAATCCACAAAGCAGTGGAGCAACGTCAGGAGATACAGTCTCATGGTAGCCAAAGACCAACAATAGGTTCATACACCATTTGTTCCTTCAGGATGATGGGGTTCATGTGAACGATTGATTTGGAATTAGAGTTTTCTAACTTCCCTAGATGGTCTTTCTGTGTCCACCAACCCCGTTAAAGCGCCGGATATTCGCTTTTCGTCTTTTTAATTTCGTAAACAACAATAATGCCACGAGAAGGAAATGAGTAGGACTTCTCTCTGGAAGTGATTGTATGCACGTGGCTATTCAGACCTTACTGACACTAATAGCCTAAACTGTCAATTTCTTATTTAAGTATTACCTACTTATCGATAACATTTTCATAAGAAAACAACACAAGATATTTATATGAAATATTCTTTATTTGTAAAATATAATAAAACATATCGAGATCAAATTATGATTGTCACTTTGTTGCCTAAGAAAAATAATCTCTACATATCAATCCGAATTACATATTGCACTGATTTAATTTACATAGATTGATTATTATTATTATTACTGGTGAATAAGTTTCCAAAAACCGATTGAATAATTCAAATAAACGATCATCTTCTCCATTAAGAAATATTCTAAAATCAGCTAACATACCATCTTGAAATAATTCATCACCTGTAAGATGACCACGCCAACGTTTTGGTAACATATGATTCCATGTCCAAAAATAACCTATTGATTTTTGTATTGTAAAACAATTAGCAGTACAATCGGATGATATCCATGATGTATCCATATTTATTGTACGTTTATAATCATCTTTTAAATGATCAATATTATGATCAGATTCCTATGAAATTGGAATACACATAAAAATAAAACAGCTTTCAATTATTATAAATTAAAGGAATTAATTAGATTGTAAAACCTTATAAAACTCCACTTGTAGCTCTCTTCTAGAGTTACTGCCGGTCTTAATCCCAGGTAAAAGAGGAGGGTTGGGCATGGGGTTAGAGACTCCGTTCCATAGAAAACTAACTTGCTAAAAACATGCTAACCAGAAAAACTTTATAAGATATTTAACAATATTACTTACCAATCTATAATATAATCTTGGGAAAAAAATGAGGGTAACCAATGTTTAATATAAGTGCGATATCTACTATTTCCAAGCATCTTTTTCTTCTCTTCATTTAGTGTATTGATGTTGTATATAAGGATGTGATTTTCAATGAGGATTTTATTTTAAATTTAATAGTTGAGATCATGAGACAATTGAAACTAGACTAACATGGAAAACCTGGAAGCACTGGACGGCCGTTTCGTTCTATTATGGGACTCTTCAGCATTGCACATCCACGATCCCGCCTCGCGAGATTCGAACCCTGGACTTATCAGTTCTAAACTCGCGAGGCGAGACCGTGGATACGCATTGCTGAGGAGTCCGGTATTAGGAAGAAACAGCTGTCTAGTGATTCCAGGTTTTCAATTGTGGTCTAACATCAATCGACTCATTATCTCAGTCAACAACTTAACAATCTCCACGATCCCATACATTATCTTAGTCATGAGAAAAACTAACTGTTAAATTAAAAACAGCCAGGAAAAAAATGTTTTCCAATGAATGGTTAGTATATAAATACTACTAAACTTGGACAAATCTGATTCACTATAAACTAATACTATTTATTACACCACTATCTTATTTTCTGTTCACAATCCGTTGAGTTTCATGAAAAAAGGTACTCCGTGATTTACAAGATCCATATCAAAAGAAAAAGATATAGAACGAATCATTTAAGATATAACGGAATGCCTTAACTAATCTGCATTAAGAATTCTGGGTCTAATATTAAAGTCCTTAATTTACCAGTACTCAATACAACCTGGTAATATTACATAAGTTGGTTAATCTTAGGTACTTGTTTTTACACTATTCAAATTTATTTTCACATATTGTACAGTACTGTAGTCGAAATATTTTTGTACATCGTATCATTGATTTGCAAGTAGGCATCTTACAGATGGGTACTGTCAATGTCAGTTAACACATTCCGGCCTACATTTCTATTCAATTATTGAAACAATCTCGACAGTATTGTCATTAGTTCGAAGTAAATTAAGGGTTTGGAATCACAACGCATACTTCAAGGATTACACCGCAACTAGTATATTAAATGAACTCTGCCTGGAGCCCCTCTGGAGCTACTGCCGGTCCCAAGCCCGAATAAAGGAGGAGGGTTGGGCATGGGGTTAGTGACCCCATCCCGTAGAAAACTAACTCGCTAAAAGAACGCTAACCACTATAACAAATGATTAATTGATGAAGTGTGGTGCGACAACTTAAAATAACACGAAATAAATTAGAAAGTAGTTATTATGAATGGTAATTCTTAAAAAAAAACTCAAACTCTTTTTACGTCAGATTTTCGACTTCCTGAAGACTCAGTAATGACAGAGCAGTTTCTTGTAGTATCTTCGCCTTGAACTTCTCCACTTTCATATGAAGGTATCATGGTAAATATACCTCCACTGCAATGTACATAAATCCATTGTTTTTGTGAAAAACAAGAAGAACCGAAAGCCAATCGACCATGTAATTCATAGTCTAAACGATCCTTAACACAGCTGTCATTAATAAAGCCAAATCTATGAATATAAAGAAGGAAACATATTAAAACGGTGGATATGTTTTGATAATAAAATGAACTAAGTGATATGACAATAAGCTACACTATAGCTAATTTTCGATAGTTAGAAGCAATCAGTAGGGACGTCCTGAATCTAAGTTTCGTAATTTGTAGCACTCGTCATAAAAACATCAATCTTAAGGAAACTAATGCTTTCAATGAGACTTGTATTGAAGTCAATTTTACTGATCATAGTTGCCCCCAAATGCCCTAGTATGGCTGATAGTGGGAAGAGTCAGCTCTCCCTCTCGAAATGCCCTGACATGGCCACGTGCATACAACCACTAATAGGGAAGTCTTACTCACTACCTTCACGCGCCACGGGTGTTGTTTACGAAATTGAGAGGACGAAAAACGAATGTCCGGCAGTTTAACCTGGTTGGTGGACACGAAGAGTTCATCTAGGGGAGTTGGAAAACCCTGATTCCAATCCAATGATACATATGGGATCCAGTATCCTGAGGGAACAAATGATGTTTGAACCCATTGTTGGTCACTGGATACCATGAGACTGCATCTCCTGACGTTGCTCCACTGCCTTGTGGTTAAGAACATTAAGTCGAAGGCTCCGGGGTGTGGCCTCCTAAGGAAACCACCTGCTTCGATCTGAGCACCCGGGCAGTATTCTAACCCTCACATAAATCGAATGATTTATGTGGTGCATCTATATTTGGTGCCTTCTTGTACCGGTGTTTATGTATTTAAATAATAAATAATAATAAAGACCATAGTTAAGATCGATATTCAAGATTTTCCGTTTTTTTTTCAGCATCAACTACTATATTTACTAATGTAATAAGTTCAAAATGAAATGACAATTATTTGAAGTATGATACATGTCAACTCTACGCATCATGTAATTGACACTTTTTATGAATTTCAGATGAGTGGTAAATGTATTTAGTCGGTATTTATACAAACTGTCGTTGTCAATCAGTCATAATGAATGTAGATCATGGCGCAAATGTATGTTATCCCAAGTTTCTATTTATTCGATCAACACGATGAGATAATTTATTAGTGATGAGGTTATCTGCGAATATTTATTAATTTAACTTCTCCTATAAATTTAGTTCCATAGGCCTACGTGTTTGTGAACACATATTGGGTTGGTTAATAAAAGGTAATGTAATCTTATCATAGCTCTAATAAAGAAGAATCCTGAAAGATCCATTTTCAAGCGACTGAATATCCTGCCAAAGTGTAAAATAAATCAATCTAGCTAATCAATAAAAAAAACATAAGTGTATATACTCATCTTTGAGCAGTATTGTGTGATGGACAGTATTATTACCAAGCTGTTTAAACCGAATTCTGTGGAACAGGATCCGAACATTCGACCTATTTATCTAATGTCAAGTACTTTAAACAGCGTAACATATCAACGTATGAATAAGTTCTCCGTTTAAGTGTAAACACGGAAAAATTATTGAGGAAACACACAAATTAAAAAGACCAATATACACTAACCTTCTAAGTATGGAATCTTGAAAGAATCGAATGCAGGTTAGGCGTTCTGAATGTGGAATATCTGTAATACATTTTGGAAGTACGAAAAGAAATATAAGTCGACCTTTTGTGATGATATTATTGATTATTAGTATTTTCAGGTAATAACTATTTGTTATTTCAATAGAGTTAAATGTGTTTTAGATGGACTACTCTAATAGCATACTAAGATAAACGTATGATCAATGCTCTAGTTAGATGAATAACTGATAAAGATCAATCACATCTGGAGTAAGACAGATATCACCGATGATACTCATTAATTGTTATGGTACTTCACAAATTAATTGGGTTTACAGAATTATAACTCATAGGCTTGAAAATTTCGGCGGTACGATTACTGGCGGGGTTGCAGGTGAACAGAAGTCTCAAACTAAGCGAATATAATTTCTTGTCAAGTTAAAAGTAGTCTATACTAACAATTAAAGTAATCTTAACAGTCAATCACTTATGCGAGATAGCGAAACAAACAATTAAAAACAAGAAGGAAACATTCGAAACAATATTGAGAAGTTCGTAAAAAGAAACTCGAATTCTATGATCCAATTATCAAATTGGTCAATCAAAATAAGTGAAGTTTTGGCAGATATGAAAAACACATACAGATAAATATACATATAAACAAACACTTTATTTCTTGTAGACAAAAGTCTTGACGAAAATTATTAAGAAAAGGTTGAAGCAGTTTTATGTATTTCGGAGAATAATGCTCTAAACTATCAACTTAGCTGATTGATAGGTCATAATAGTAGTGTTTGTAGTCAGATATGAAGCAAAAAGGTATGTAAATTTAATGAAGGACTTTTATTAAAACACTAATGACTGAACCAGAGATTATGACAAACCGTCATCTCAACTGTGAATATATTAAATAGGGTTTCATCAGAGCTGATTGCTGCTTTCATTTGATTTCATCTCATCATAGATGACATTCTATAAGTAATAATTCATATCTCTAAATTTTCAAGAATTAATTTCTTACCATAAAATATAGATATCAACCTAACTTATAGAGATGATAAAATTCTGTTTGACGGAGATGTTAATATGTAGTCTTTTGAACATTATGAATAACACACCCAAGGATATTTGGGATCCGATTCTCTTTATATAAATGTAAAATGTTGTTTTAAGACTGGACAGCATCAACATAGTAGAATTAGTTGAAGTTAGACATAAACACCGTTGGATACCAACCAGCTCAATGGTCTAGAAGTTAAGCGTTCATGCGCGAGATCAATAAGTCCTGTGTTCGAATCTCGCGGAGGGCCGGATTGCGGATACGCACTGCTGAGAAGTCTCACACAATAAAACGAAACGGTTGTCCACTGCTTCCAGGTTTTTCATGATGGCCTAGCTTCAATTCATACATGAATTCAATTATGAAATTACAACAGAATGTATTCAATGTAAATTTTAAGATAAATTTAATGCTTCATATCACTGAATTCAGATTTTTCTGCCAAAATTGATAATAATTATCCAAATCATAAATAAACAAACAATTTGTTCTCCATTTAGAATATAAAAATTTCAATTCGAAAATGAAATTAAAAATGTGAATATTTTTTTTCATTAAAGCAGATTAGATAGTCACGAATAAATTTAGATGCCTAGAATAAATAAGGATTAACAAGATCCTCACAATACAGTAATAATCAGAAAGTGTAAACATTGAAAATATGGCCTGAAAAAAAAAACTGTGTCCGTCAGGCAGCAATAACGTAGGAATTCGCACGTACGTACATTAGTTGTCAAGTTGTCATACCACATTAGCACACACATACAACTATCGATTCAAATCCATAATCGTACAGGTAGTAAAAGTAGAAGCAGTAATCGGAAAGATTAGGGTTTGGAGATGTTATTCAAGAAGTATAATCCAGTGAAATAAATTTGGACAGAGAAAAAAAAACAGACATGAAGAATTCACAACATTAGAATTTGGGAGAACACAAAGAGTAGATGCACTTGCGCCATTGCAAACGATTTTGAGCCATATCATTCAAAGTCTCTAACCATCGGTTGCTATCATCTCACGGATCACAACCACATAGTCTACATCCACATAGTCTACATCGCTCACTACACTTCTCAGTCAATTCATGGATTTGTGCCATCTTTCGGTCTGGCCACCCCTAGCTTACTTCCATCCTACACTATTCTATACCATAAAATATTGCACATCGGGGTAGTCGGTGATTAGGCATACGTAACACGTGTCCCACCCATCTCAAATGATCAAGTTTCACTAATTCATCAATTGATTTGCCATACTTACATAGTTACTACCCGTCTCCTAACAACTCCATTACTTACTCGGTCGTCCCACCATATACAAGCAATACTTCGAAGACACCTATCATCGAATACTGGTAACCTACGAATATCCTCTACTCTTACCGATCATGTTTCAATACCATCATGTAGGATGGAACGAACTGATGAGCAGTAAACACATCCTTTCGTTGGTAGAAGGATATCTCGCATACACCATAAATCACGCAAGTTGGAAAAAGCTAGTCGAGCCTTCTCTATTCGTGTTCAGATTTCGTCACACACCAGAACACATGGGCTGACGAGACTTCCAAGATAAGTGAAGTGGTTGACACGCTCAACTACTTCACTCCCTATCATTAGTTCGGGTGTCGATGCAACTCAATCCTGAAGTAAAATTTTGCATTTCGAGGGAGAGAACCGCATCCCGAGCATGCTTGCATTGTTGCTTAGAGTGGTCAGAAGACTGCATTTTGTCAGCGTCTTCATCAAATAGGACTATGTCATTGGTATATTCTAAGTCAACAAGTGAATCTCCTGGTGAGAGTTCAACTCCTGGAAATTTATATGAGGAAAGTGTTATCTCTAAAAGCACGTCAACGAAAAAGTGGACAGCCATGACAAACAGCTCTTGAGGTAATCAATTCTGATGACATTTCCCCATAAGCTCTCACTCGGCCAGTTGTGTGCGAGTGGGGTATATAAAGAAGTACCGGAACTCGAGTACATGAACTTTTACCATTGTAATTAGTTTCTAAGTTACATCATCTAATGTCACTGATCGCTGATTAAGGTTATTATGCGGATCTCAACCAAGTAGTTGGCATCTATTACCATGATTCAGATTAACAGATAATGATTCCATGAACTGATACCACATTTGATTTGGCTGTTTCTCTAGCATCTTGATGGAGTTTTATTCTCTGAACTGGATGCTTTAGTTGTGCTGATGATGTCTTTCAGAAGAACGATAAAAGCTCCACGATCAAACCATACAGCTTGGAGAACAAAACTTCATCACAATCATCCACCTGAGCTACAAATCTTCTCCACCATCCTAAGCATCCTTTCAACTAACTCTTACATATTAGCTAACATTTAAACGGATAGTAATCATGAAACATTCACTGAAGAAGAAGAAGAACAATAATAAGTAATACTTACCAGGAAATAAATAATTCAATAAATCTGTCATATTCAAAAGAGAATTTTCATATATCAATGAACTATTCTCATTTTGTGATTGATTATAAAATTTTTTAGCTACTTCAATTAATACATTGACATTAATAGGTAAAAATATTGGTTTACGTAGCGGATCTTTATCAGATAAATCATCATTTGACTGACCAAAAGGATAACATGGAACTGGGAAAAAGTGTAAATTAGCTGTACCAGCTTTTTGATACCATAATGATACCTGTAAGATAAGAAAACAATAAAATCTGTAGTTTTAATGAGAAAGATAGATGAGGCGATAAAACTAGTGGCAATAATAATAATAATTAATAATAAATATATAATAATAATAATAAAGTCGATTGTCCTAAGAAAACGGTTAGTTTGAAATTAAATTTCATTATAGAAGTAGAGAAGAGACTTTGAATGTGATCGTTATCGAAGCAATATAGTTAGTAAAGACTCAGTAAAGAAGATGGAATAGAACAGTGACATTGTTTTTGATTGATGAAGGATTAGATTATTAGACATTTATAATCCTCTTAGTTCGGTGATTGTAGGTAGTCAAGAGGAAACCGTGAACCTAGGCCCTTTGTTAGCTGGCACACAGTACCAAGAAATATCCATAACATTCAGTGGAGTGGTGCGTCGATGGAAGCTGGACACAGCGCACATAGTGTGATAGTTTGGGACATTACACGCCTGAAATATCCGGGCCGTGACGAACCATACATAAAGTAGTAAGATGCTAATATAAAGAGGATACTATTGATACCCCTGATTTCTTCTCCTACACATCACAAAAACTAGATTCAAAGTTTCCTATGGATTATTTGTAAACACCTTAAATCAAAACAGTTCATAGGACAACTAATCAATAAGGCTAGCAGTCATATTACGACTTAACCAATAAAATTCAGTCAGTACTAAAAAACTAGACAAACTCATTCTGATAATAATCAACTGCTCACTAGTGACTGACTTCAGGAGAACCTCCTGGAATTCTAGTGAGAAGCCGTCATCAGTGGAGTTCAACCAGGTCCGTTGTGAGATATCAGCTCACTGAAGACAATGGTGTACGGTGGCGCAACTTCGTGGATTAGTTGAAGTTGGACATTAACACCGTTGGATTCCGGCTCAGTGGTCTAGTGGTTAAGTGCTCGCGCGCGAAGCCAGTAGGTCCTGGGTTCGAATACCGCGGGGGGCGGGTTCGTGGATGCGCACTGCTGAGGAGTCCCATACTAGGACGAAACGGCCGTCCAGTACCTCCAGGTTTTCAATGGTGGTCTAGCTTCAACGGACTCATGACTTCAACCTGTGAAATGTAGCAATAGTTATTTTTCAATGATCAATCTAAACTTCACAGTTTACATAACGAAGTGGTTGTAGTTAGAAAACTACTGAAAATCAGAAAACACTGAATAGTATGAAATTGTTTAAAAGTCAGCATCTATAATTTCACTAGGCGTTGAATCCATTATCATAAAATCTTGTAATGAATCCAATAGTTTACATATCAACCTTAAATTAATTGCCTACAATCAGCAATTATTATCTATATTAATATTAACACATTCACTGTCTTCCAACTTTCGTTGTTTTTTTTCCTTTTAGACAAGACAATCTTGAAGTTATTAAAACTGGATCAGATACAATTTAATTTACAATCCTCATGACACCATATCAAAGTAAATAAGTCAGGTACATAAAAAGACATAAACAATTATCAAGGTATTCACTGTTAAGAATATGAACAGTGTGTGTGTGTGTGTGAGAGTGACTGAGAGAGAGAGAGAGAGAGAGAGAGAGAGAGGAAAACCATTAATATATGCATTAAAACAATGAAATTTATTCGACCATAACTAAATTTTAATGTAAATTCATGTATTGAAAGGTCATGTAATACATTAAACAGGGTTAGCAACAAAACTAAAACAAAAAAAACATGGTCATTATTTAGGAACTTAGCAAGACATTTTAATAAGGCCAACATAAATAAATGAAATGTATTTCTTTTTTTTTTTGTTTTTTTTTTAAGGTTAACATTAAGATTCACTGAAGCTTGACAGTATCAAAAGCCTTTTAAGATTAAAAAAAAACAACACAAATGAATAACATGATTCTCTGAAAGAAGTATCCATCACGAACACAATCTATACATGAAAATAATCTCTATAGAACTCGGTAAAAGTATACATTTAGGATGAACCAATCAGAATAGAGAATATGATTTGTAGAGTGGTTCTTGCGCAAAATTCAAATATTATATATGATGATTAATGGAATACTTTTCATGAGTCAATTGAAGCTAGACCACTATGGAAAACTTGGAAGCATTGGACGGCCATTCCGTCCTAGGACGGGATTCCTCAGCATTGTGCACCCACGACCCTGCCCCTCGCGAGATTCGAACCCAGGACCTATCAGGTTCGCGCACGAGCGCTTAACCAACGGTGTTAATGTCTAACTTCAGCCAATCCACGAAGTTGCGCCACCGTACACCATTGTCTTCAGTGAGTTACTATCATGATTTCAACCAGTGAAATTTCTAAAAAATCTCTACAAAACCCATTCTGGAAATACTTTTCTATACTGTTCAAAATATTTAAAATGATAGTGAAAAATTATGTTTTGCAGTCATAGACTGAATATGATAATGTTAAATGCATCAAATGAATAATTCTGTCTGACAGATCCATAATTCCTGACCCTAATCATGTGCTTACTAATGAGTAGCTTCGATAGGAAATTCCTGGAGTTCTAATGAGAAGCCGTGACTAGTGAAGCTAATCCGTGTCGGGTTGAGGTTCATTCCGTGAATACGATGGAAAATGGTAGAGCGATGTTGTGGGTTAATTGAAGATAGACATTAATATAGTTTGATGCCGTCTCAGTGGTCTACAGGTTAAACGTTCGTGGACGAGACTGAAGGTGCTGGGTTCGAATTAAGCGTTGAGGGTCGTGGATGCGCACTGCTGAGGCATCTCATACGAGGATAAAATGGTCGTTAAGTGCGTCCAGGTTTTTAACATTGGTCTAACTTAGATCGGTTCATAATTTCAATGAAGTACTACAACTTAAATTCATTTCTTGTTCATTGTTGATTAATTTCCTTAATGATGCAACAACCATTTGATTCAATACTTAGAATCTCTTGGTAATCTTTAATTACGTTGTTAAATTATGTAACACCATTTCATTTTCTGCACTTTAAATTCAATGCTTGAATAAGTTTCTAGAGTTCTAATAAAATGCCGTCAATGGTTGAAGTTCAGACATGTTAAGATTGAAACACAAAATAAGACGAAATAACTGTTCAACACTTACACGTTTTTTGATGATACCTTAACTAAACTTAATTTTTAATGACAAATACAACTCACACAATAAAACAATGTTTCAAAAACCTTATTTTTTTACTAAAATACATACATTCCTGTTTAAACTGATTAACAATTCAGTATTATTATCAGTATGGGGATTTTTGGAGATTGTAGTATTTGAATAGTTAAATTTATGAGTCAATCTAAGCTAGACCACCAGTAAAAACCTGAAACCATTGAACAGCTGTTTCATCATAGTTTAATACTCCTAGAAAGTGTACATCAACGAATCCAGAATCTTCGGTCTCGCACGCGAACACTTAATCTTTAGACTACCGAGCCGGCATCCAACGGTGTTAATGTCTAACTTCGAACGATCTATGATTTTGCGCAACCCTTCATCCACTGTTTGAGATGGATAACTGTCTCACACCTGACACCAGTTGGACTCCGGTGGTTGCGACTTCTCATTAGAACTTCAGGAAATCCATCTTGAAGCTAATCACCAGCGAGTAAAGGATTATTATCAGTATGGGGATTTCTGGAGATTGTAGTATTTTAGTTTATGAAATTCAAAATCTAATATGAAATTTATACCATAGAAAACAATAATAATAATATATTAATGTTGCTAATGAGAAACTAATTTAGAATGTTGACTAAACAAATTAACTAGCCAATCGTCGTAAAAAAAACAAGATCCACTTTCATTTGAAAGTAAGTACATTTTTTTTGGTAAATGGAAAATAATAGCATTTTTAATAATAATCAAAAATAGCAAATATTACATAGTTAGCTATAAGGACTATAGGGACTTCTACCTGATGTTTGTTCTGATGATATCATTTAGAAGAACGATGAAAGCTCCACGACCAAACCATTCAGCTCAGAGAACAAAACTCCAACAAAATAGGGAGTTTATGGTGAATGTTAAATTTCATAATATACAACACAAACTGATCTTTGAAGGTAATAACTAGAGATATTCGACAAGAATCCCTAGGACTAAGTTACGTGTTGTTTGGCACTTATCACTAAGATGTACCTGGAATCTAAAGGGGATTGATAATGTTTGGAGCATTTAATACCATGCCACTCAGCTTCATAGTCCCAGACATCATGATTGAGATATTAGGGTTGCAAATGACTTATAGGAATGAAATGTGTTTGCAATTGATTGTTCATAATAATTTTCATTTTCAGACCAGTATTTAGGTGTAATAAACCTTTAGATAGAAAATTTTAAAACATCCTTAAATGTATGTTCTGTCTCATGTGGACGCGACCCTCTAGGGAAGTTTTATTTATCTCCTTCCCGAGTCGGAAGTGGTTTTACAAAATCAAGAGAATGAAGAAGACGTCTGGTGCCTAAAGCGAGTTGCTGGAACGGAGGATCAATTTAGTGTAATTACGAGATCTTGATTCTAAACTGATGGTGCAAGAGAGTACCATGGTCATATCGAATGATGCGAAGACAATCCGGTCAATAACTACTATCGAACAGGACCTTCCTAGACTATATTAATGCATCGCTGATTAGACTTTTAAATCAAAGGACCCGTGTGATCCTTAACGCTGATCGATTATTTGAGCACATAATTAGTATTCCGGCCCATACAAAAGTGTAGTAAATTCTTTTGACGTTTCATTGTACTACAATTCTTGTCAGAAATCACTAAATGACAACCAACAGCAATCAACTGTACGCACGAATTAATCACTGATAGTCTTCCATCAAAACTGAAAATCACAAATATTGAATATCTATTTCTAGTAAGATAGATACACGAAAAAATAGACTGACCAGTTCAGCCATTCGTCCGCCTGTAACTACAAGCCATTGAAGTTCTATAGAAAAAGCACAAGTTGGATGATAATTTGCATCATATACACAATGAGCCCATTCAACTGGTCCATCATTATTTGGTCCATCCAAATCACATAAACAAGTTTTACGAAGAACTTGATCAATTTCTGAAATACAATATATTGCACTGAAATTACAGAAGATACTTCAAGGCATAATAATAATAATAATAATAATAATAATAATAATAATAATAATAATAATAATAATAATGTCAATCAGCTGGTCATAATTAACGTAGCACCAAATTAGCGCAAAGAGATGAAATTAACATGTTAAGTTAATGAGTCAAAACAATGCAGTGACTATTATTCTGAGAAAAATCAAACACTGAGAATATAATTCAAGAAGATCAAGAAAAAACGTATTTATGAAGGAGTACTGGGAGTCAAGATCTGGAGCAAAGTAAGAAATACATGAATCTCAACCATTGTGATAGATCCTAAGCCATATCAACCACTGATTGAGGTTATCTTGAGAATCTCAAACTATTATTATTATTATTATTTGAGCACATAGATATTGGTACAAGGAGGTATCAAATAGATATGCATCACATTAATCTCATTTGATTTATGTGAGGGCTGTGATACTACCTGGGTGCCCGAACCGAAACAGGTGGTTTTAGTAGGGGGGCATACCTGCAACCTTTGACCTACAGGTCTGATCTACAAGGCAGCGAAGCATCGTAAGGAGATGCAGTCCGATGGTAGCCGGTGACCAACAATGTGTTCATACGCCATTTGTTCCTTTGTGATCGATCCTGAGCCATGTCTCCAAGAGTCTCCAACCATTGGTTACGATAGTCACGAAGACCCCAACCAATTACTCTGAATCTACCAACATAGCTAAGACTAGAAGTTAGTGACTTCATGCACTGATGCCACGTTTCAGTTTATCCGACCCTAACTTTCTTCCAACCACCTCCAACGCTAATCAGCATTGCGCTTCGTGGTAATCGGTGTTCAGGCATACGTAACACGTGGCCCGACCATCTCAGTGGATGAAGATTCACAACCTCATCGACTGATTTACCATCATTCTCTAATACCCTGCGTTTAACTCACAATTACTTATCCGATGATCCCAGCAGATGTTGGCAACATTTCTAAGATATCTGTGGTCAAATACTAGTAGTAGTTTACGAGTAACTTCTACTCTTAATGGCCATGTTTCGCGGACGTAAAGTAGGACAGAACGAACTGCCGTGCAGTATACTCATCCCTTAATTGATAGCCGGATATTTCGCCTTCGCAATAGATCATATAAATTGGCAAAAGCACAACGAGCTTTTCGAATCCGTGCTGAGATTTCGTCAGACACCAACCCATTAGGGCTGATCAGACTTCCAAGATAAGTGAAGTTGTCAACGAGTTCGACTACTTCACTCCTTATCCTTAGTTCAAGTGTTGACGCAGACCAGTCCTGAAGCAACAACTTGCATTTAGAGGGAGAGAAGCGCATTCCAAACATTCTGGCATTGTTGCTCAGTGCTACCAGAAGACTGCATTTTGTCAGCGTCTTCACCAAACAGGACTATGTTGTCTGCGTATTCTAAGTCGATAAGTGGACCTCCTGGATGGAGATCAATACCCGAGAACTCAGTCGACGAGAATGTTATTTCCATCAATAGGTGTACGATGAAGTTAAACAAAAATGGAGAAAGTGGACAGTCCTTGAACACCACTTGAGGTTGCAAAAGCAGGTGCAGTTCGCCGTAAGCTCTGACTCGACTGGTAGTGTTCGAGTAAAGAGCCTTTGCAAGGTTTATGTACTTCTGAGGTACACCTTTCAATGACAAACACTGCCACAGAACCTCTCAGTCTACAGAGTCAAATGCTGCCTTTAAGTCAAAAAAAGACCACGATTATCGGACGCCGATAAGTATCCCTGTGTTCCAGAACCTGACGAATGGTGAATATGTGGTCGATGCAGCCATGACCAGGTCTGAAGCCAGCCTGATTTTCTTGTGTTTGCAGTTCACGAGTCTCAGTTAGGTGCTCGATAATTATTGAGGCTAGTATCTTAGATGCTATAATAGTTAAACTAATCACTCTATGGTTATGACAGGATGATTTTAACTCCTTCTTATATATTTAGACAATCGGAGATTGCACCCAGTCAAATGAGATTACGTCCAACTCCTAGATTTTAGCTAAAATATTAGTCAAACCTAATCACTAAAACTGAACCATCGTGCTTAAAGACATCTAGAGTTCATCCATCTGAACCAGCTGCTCTCCCTCGTTTCAGATTAGCTATAGCCTTTTGAACTTCAGCTAGAGTTGAAGGACCTACTTCAATGTAAAGTAGCTGAAGGCCAGCTGAACTGCTCCTTAAAGTGATCCACCCATCGTTCTAAATGTCTGGGCTGAGAGTAGATAAGATTGTCGTCTTTCTCCGAGATCGACAATAAATAAACCAGAGAATTTGTTAGCCCCTTAACCAGTTTTATACAACATTGAAAAGACTGCAGTATAGTTCGATTCTATAGCTCACTTTAACAATATGCTTAGTCATAGAGGATGAATATTTGTTATATGTTTTTATATAGTTAAGGTAATCTAGTTGATAAAACAAAAACCACATGAAAAATGTGTTAATAGCACAGAGCAAATACATTTTTCACATGTTAAAAGTTACCCAAAATGAAAGATAAGAAATTAACAACAATTTGTTTACTTATTAGTAAAAAAGATTAATTTCTAGATCACTGAGCCGTGTTCAGAGTTTAAACATTCGTGCTCGAAATAAAAAAAATTCCAGGTCCGAGTCCCACGTGTGTGATTGTAGATATACACTATTTAAGAGTCCCAAACTAGGATAAAACGGCCTTTTAGTGCTTCCATATATTCAATAATGACCTACCATAGATAGATTCATGAATTCAACTATCAACAACAACAACAACAACAAAAAACATATTACAATCTCCAAAAATCTCCCCTTCCTCAAAAAGAATAATGTTAACTTAAGTTGAAAAATTATCCTCATGAAATATCACATGATGAATTACGATTTCATATTTTTTTCTCTTTGAAGTAAAGTCATATTAAGCAACAAATTATGTCCTGATGTACTGTGAATAAATTTTTCAGACATTAACGAAAGAAAGAAAAAAATTCCCACTTTATTTACATTCCCATTACATTTTCTTAGATAAAATGGACATACGAAAAAAAGAAAAAAGAAAAAAGAAGAAAAAAAGAGGAAAAAGAAACAATATCCCATACAGGAATATCAATTTTCTTTAAAATGTAACAGATCACGATAAACCACAAAATGAACTCAAATTACAAAGTATAATTAAGTAGTTAAAATTAGTAAGATATCAAAAGTTATTCCCTTGATTTGGTTGATAAATTTTTAATCATTGAATTCATGAGTCGATCTAAGCTAGACCACTAGTGAAAACCTAGAATTATTGACCGACCGTTTTGTCATAGTTTGGGACTCTTCAGCAATGAGTATCTATGATCCCGAACGCAGGACTTGAATTCATGACCTTGGGTTACGAGTGCGAACACTTAACCTCTAAACTATTGAGCTGGCATCGAACGGTGTTAATGTCTAAGTTCAATTGACCCATGATTAATTTTTTTTCATTTTGAATAGTAATTCTAAGTAATAGTTTGATACGATAGATTAATGATTGAAAAGCATTTGATTTTCAATTAGTAAATTGTAGATCCAAATCTTGTCTCACTGATTTATGTTAATCAAATAGTGTCACTAGGTCTTACATAAAAGCTGAACAGATAGGTTAAAACTAGTACTTTTCATCATTTAAATCTACAATGTGCAATATACGTGAGATCATCATTTACTATTCACTCTAATTGATAAGTGACATTTGAAGGAAAGTATGGAAGAGCTCTCTGACTTTGTTTTATGAATCATAATAACTTGGAATTAGAAAAACATCATTCTGTACAGTTTTACTAACTAAATACCATTAACACTGATCATAACCATTTTACTAGCTATATAAGAATAATTGAGGCTACTGTCCACTGGTTCATAAACTTAATACAGAGTTTAACAACAGTATTAATGATTATTCGACTGCTATTAGTCTACTGTAGGAATGTTTACGAAAACTTATTAATCAAGTATAGGTTTAAGCACTCGATTTCGAGGAGAGTAAGGAAACTGACCAGGTGATTGACATATAGTAAGCGGAACGGAGTATGAATTTGAAACTCAATGGTTGGAAGTCAAACGCTCTAACTACTAAGTTGTAACTTGCCCTGTAGAAAAAAAGTGATGTAGAAGATTTACAGTTCAGTTGAATGCATTTATTGGTCATGTATTTTTTGAGCTTGATGGTGTAGTTCCGCAGTTGTCACTCTAGACAACATCTTCATTTCTTAATTCACGTAGAAGTGAGTACTTTAGTTATTACACAATTATTACGTTAGTTCTTTTGAATGAACTAGCTTGTAATTGGCTGTCTTTGTTGACTTTATTTATCCTTTTGTTCACGCTGGCTGTCTTTGATGGTTGACCACTGGCCTTATGATTGATGGAACCCTTCCATAGATTCGGTCTATGTCAGTGTTCTAACATAATCTATAAAATCACCTATACCAACTGCAAGAAATATTATATTGAACAAAATGGATGGCACCTTCGTCTGAGCCAAAATGAACATAAATTAACCATTTGACGACATGATATATTATCACTGATATCATTACATGCAGACAACAATGGAAAAGAAACATCAAAATTCGAAAATATGAAAGTATAAGATTAAGAAGAATTAATAACTAATAAACACTAAACTATCAATCCATACAGAACAGGTTGAACAATCATAAGACCATTGATCAGTTGGCAAAGACAGTGAATATAACTACAAAGATAAATGAAAACAATGTAACCTACAAAGACAATCAATCACAAGCAAGTTCATGTAAATGAAATAACATTGTACTTGTGAAATAACTGAAAAGTTAACTAAACATGTTATCCAAAGTGACAATGATAACTTCGTAATTAAATTATTGGCGAGACTAATTTATGAACGACCTTTGAACAAATCTCAAGTGACCCTGAGAAATATTAACGAATCAGCAAATAGTCAGTATGGAGTGTAAATATATTATACAAAACCAAGGAGATAAAGTGGATACACTTCTTATACGTGGTTCAAAAACGTGTTAAGGTTAGAAAGAGGTTCAAAGGTTCTAAAATCGCAATGCATGCAGTAGAGGAAATCATCCATACGGCTGCAGAATAGTCGGCCTCTGGAGCCATGATCAAGTCTCAAAAACTCTCAGCATCGACCACGTAGTTTCAATATTGTTTATGTGCACTCCAGTTGTTGAGTACACAAAATTCTACTTGTGGATATCGATACGATGCACATAACCAAGCCTATGTAAGAGTTTGTACGCTCTCCAAACATCCGTATATATTGTAGTACCTGGCTGCAGCCAGTGTTACTGGTGGTTTTATTATCCAGTTCGTGATAATTGTCATAATTTGCCTTAGTTAGGAATTATATATGGGGTTTTCATCACGAACTGACATCAGCTATAATACCAGAAATTTATTTAGCCAAATCTATTATCTTATATCTGATTGATTCGTCTACAAACTATAGCCTCGCCGTTTTATTTGTTAATAGCTGCTCGATTATCACGTTTTGTACATAATTCCGTGTGAACCGATCGTACGTTAGCACTAAGCACTGAAGTTGGTGCCGTAACCTTGAAGTCTCTAAAACGCCTCTGATTGGCTCGTCCATAAATTAGAGTCTCGCCAAATCATCTAATTAAAAGTATACATCACTACCAGAAGTGTAAATAAAATAATCAATACTTACCTTGAAATCCAGTTTTATCCGGTATTCCAAATAATGTAGAAATTGATGAATATGTTAACAGACCATCATTAAAAAAACTATTCAATTCATTTATATGTTCAAATTTTATTTCTGATGTAGATAAAGATGGACAAGAATTATTTGTAGTAATAGGAATAGTAGTAGTATTAGTGGTAGTAGTAGTAGTAGTTGCTGTTGGTGTTGTTGTAGTTGGAGTAGAAAAAGAGGAAAATGATATAGTTGAAGTATCATTCATTTCATTCAATGTATCATTATTATCAATATTACTATCGATATACTTTGGATCAACAATCTGTTGTCGTTGGTGTTGTTGTTGTTGTTGGTGGTGGTGTTGTTGTTGTTGTTTCATCTGATATTCATTTGAACCATAATGAACAATTGATATTTCAGCCCATTCATTTTGAAATACACTAGTCCATTTTGTTGTATCATTTAAAAGTTTTGGTAAATAATCTTTAGGAAATTGTATAGGTAATTGTTGTAATAAATTCAAATCTATATTAGATAATGTTTTAAATAAATGATTTGATATATTCATATGAGATAATAATGAAGTATTAGTAATTGTATTTGTATAATTAGATGATGTAATTGAAGTTAGTGATACAATAGTATTGATAGGATTGCTTATAATAGTCGAGGTAGTAGCAGTAGTAGTAGTAGTAGCAGTGGTGGTAGTAGTACTAATACTATTACTATTAGTAGTAGTAGTGGTAGTATTAGTATTAGTAGTGATAGTAGAAATAGCAGAAGCAGATAAATTATTCAATAGGTTCGAATTAGCATTCAAAGAATTAGTATACGGTAAATTTGTTATTGATATTGTATTGTTTGTAGAAGAGTAACAAGATATAATTAAATTATTTGATGTACTTAATGATGTTGTTGTTAATGTGGATGTAGTCAATGGAAATATTGAAGATGATGATAAACCAGATATTGATTGTGAAGTGTTGGAAGAAGGTGAACTTGTACAATCTAATCAAGAACAAATATATTAAGTTGGTACAATTAAATATGAATTATTGATCAGTTATAAACAATTATAAATACGATATGAAAGATTAAATCTTCAATCAATTCATTTATCAGTTGTATATTTCATTAGATTGATATTTGATACTTGATTGATACTTGGTTGGGGTCGGAGTGATCATCGTAACCAACGGTTGGAGACTCTGGGTGACATGGCTAAGAATCGATCATAATGGTGTATACACTCTCTATCTTCCCTTAAACAGTTTCGTGGTTGGAGGCAGGACAGTTCACGATATAGTGTGACGATCATCTAAAGATGCTAGTAAGGACTGTTTCCCTTGAAATATTTCCGAACTCCCACCAAAATTTGAGGAACTCATTTAGTAGTAAGAAGTCCTACTGCGAAATAGTTGTTAAGTACCTTCTGACCTACAATAGTGCTCTGACTGAGATTAGTCCGTGACGAAATAATCTCCACAAAACCCTACTAATTAATCAATTAATTATTAAATAAAACGAAGATAATTAATTTTGTGTAGATTTCTGGTTTGAAAATTATTTTCGGCAATGATTTAAGTCGACAGGAGAACGATTGAAAGTTTCGAAGCACTGAGTATGTTTGTTTCAAGATTACTCTAGCAGTGGGCAATTGTTATTATCCTAGCTTCGAAAGCATAACAGTTTTAACTAACACATATTTATAGGCAAAGCTTAATTTCATAAGACAAAAACTTGAAAATCGAATGTTCCACATATTGCACATTAAACAAACTATTTATTTGAAAATTTAATTAAACTCACTTGTATTATAGACAAAGATGGATGGTGACTCTCAGTGGAATCCATGACGCGTGGTTAGTCACCTATTCGGGACTCGTCAGCTGAATGTGCCGTCCATCACAGAGCTAGGTGGATAACGCAATGGCGTTTAAACGAACGGCACTGGGTTCGAGTCCTGGAGTGAACATCAACTCTGGGATGCAACTACATCCAGCTTAGGAGTCCCAAACAGGAAGAAACGCGCGTCAAATTGGATTTCACTAATAGCCACCACCCATCTTTGCTTACAATGCTTATGACTTAAGGCAGTATCTCACAGGCAATTCGCACAGGATACACATATGTCAATAAGAGGCTGATCAATTACACTCCTGAACATCAATGAGAAGATTCAAACAAACAATATCAAATGAATTAAACTCACTTGTATTTGGTATATTCAATTGAATCGGTGTAACTGGAGCAGATTGAATATTCATTTCACTATTATCTAATGTAGATAGATTAAGTGAAGTATCAATTTGTGTATTTGTTAATTGTTTTATATCAGGAATAAGTAATGTATAAAAATATGTTCCATAAATAAATACATGTTTTGAATTCCCTGAAGTATGACATATCCAACCAGCTTCTAGCATTTGCTAAATAATATAAAGAAAATATACACAATGATAACTTGATAAAACGAATCATTATAAAGAGAATGATTTTATAGTAAATTTTAAGTGTATAGGTATTACAAGAAGCTTGCTTCATGAAATTGTAGAAATCTTCATTGAATTAGATTCAAGAAAAAAATTTATGCTATTCATATTTTGATAAGTAACCACTACTTTATTTATGTTGAATTAGTTCGAAGAAGGTCATCTGAAAATACGTCATTATGTTATTCAACTAATTTTTCCTTACCTTATGTATCATTGATACTTATAAAATTATTAGTATAGGGTTGTAGAGATAGTTGAGTTGTAATTGAGATCATGAACTGATCAATGTTAGACCATCGTTGAAAATCTAAAAGCACTGAACGGTCGTCCTAGGTTGGAGTTCCACATGCGGTTTCGTGGATGTGCACTGATGGGGAGTTTTATACTAGGACGAAACGGCTGTCCAGTGTTTCCATGTTTTCATTGGTGGTCTAACATAAATCAATTTATGATCTCAATTATAAAATTATCATTTAGAATATACAAGAATTATTCAATACATAATCTGAGATGGAAAGGTTTCAAAATTGTAAGTATCAATGTAAATTCATTCTCTAATATAACTACGAAAATTTATTATTTACCTGTTTACTCTATGTTTCAATATCAACTTTAAATGATACATTAACAACAGTCGCATTAATTTTAGTAACATTTGTTTCGCAAAAGTATTTTTTTTTTAATTTTCGGTCGATCGGATATTACATGCATCAAATTACGATGAATTACTTCTAGACATTCTTGAAATTTTAGTGAGCTCAGAAATGTCGGTGTGGAATAGTTTTCACTGATTACATTTGGTGATCGTAGCATAATATTGGAAACTGATTGAATTTGAAATTTGATAAAAGAAAGCCGGTTAAGTGGTTCTAATGACTAAGTATTCGCCTTGAGACTTGAAAGTCGAGGGTCCAATCTCTTACTAAGCGAAACTATTATTTATTACTGCTTGGTTTTCAATGACACATCAAGTAAGATGTTAGTGACCCTGTATTTGACTCCAGTTCGATCGTATGAATGATTGTTACCGAAATATACATCTCGGGTACTCTCGTATATAATCAACGACTTAACTCGCGTTAATGAATAACGGAATTAAATAATTCAAATATGAGAATGAATTTCGTATACGCATACTTTACACAATCGTTTATCTGGACAGACAATCAAGGAAACGAAATGATGCACGGTGGAGAAACCGAGTGAGCTAACTCGTTTTATTAATCAAGCGTAGGTCAATATTTATAGTCAAACAAAAGACGTTACAGATACATGACGAATGGGGTAAGTAATTAACATACACGATCTCACAGAAAACAGTCAGAGTTAATAAGCGAATAAGTGACAGGGTAAAAATGTGTCCTGAGAAGAATAAATAGATCGATTTGTCCAGAGGCTAGAATAACCTATGTAGGCCAGCACCAGCCCTTACAAGATCAATTTGTGGTAAATACAACCTACGACTGTTAAATATGTCCAATTTCGGTTTATGTTTAAAGTATTTATTAAGCAACTGAAATAAAACAAAACAGCCGCTAGTGATGGGTCCTTATGTTCTACAAATGATTCATCCATTTAGTGTCAATTCAGAATAAAAGCTATTTTCATGATTGGTCAAGGATAAAATAGACAGATATAAACGCTTAGTGATTTACAGAAAAGTATTATATTGAAACAAACTGATAATAACTTAAGTTTTAAAATAACAGCACCCAATGCTCTGGTACGACCGAGGGGGGGGAAAGTCAGATCTCCCTCTCCAAATCCTCTCACGTGGCCACGTTCATACAACCCCTCACAGGGAAGTCCTACTTACTGCTTTCTCGTGGCATTAATGTTGTTTACGAAATTGAGAGAACGAAAAGCGAATGTCCGACGCTTTGACCGGGTTGGTGGACACGGAGAGTTCACCTAGAGGAGTTTGGAAACCCTAACTACAAACAAATGGTGCACATGGTCTCCAGCCTCTTGAAGGAACAAATGGCGTATGAACACATTTTTGGTCAACGGCTACCATGGGACTGGATCTCCTTACGATGCTCCACTGCATTGTAGATCAGACCTTTAAGCCGGAGGCTCCGGGTGTGGCCCCCTAATAAAACCACCTGCTTCAGTTTGGGCACCCGGGCAGTATCCTAGCCCTCACACAAATCGAATGGTTTATGTGGTACATAAGTATTTGGTGCCTCCTTGTACCAATATTTATGTTTAAATAAATAAATAAAGATAACATAATTAAGATTACAATTTGAAATTTCATACTACCAAATGGTTTTAGTTACTGAACCACTGAATATTGAACGGTCGTTTCGTCCTCATATAGAAATTCTCAAGACTGAGCATCTGTAACCATAATAATGACTGAATTTTGAGTTAAAATCTAATAGTCTACATTTTTAACTTCAGTTAAGTCATGATTTTGCACAACCATAGCCCACTGTCATGACTGATAGGACTGAACTCCATCGGTCACTGCTTCTTATTAGAACTCTAGGAATAATCTTGCAAACTTGGTCACTTTTAAGCACATGAGTGTTAGTGTAAGGATAGTCTGGGTGATTAAACTTCAAATTCAACAATTTTCACAACACCCTACAACAATTATAAGCAGAGATGGATGGATGGTAGCTAATAGTGGAATTCAGAATGTGCGTTTCGTTTTATTTGTGACTTGTCAGCTAGATGTATCATACATCCCAGAGTTGATGTTCTGTTCAATCCAGAATTCAGACCCAGTACCATTTGCTTCAAACACCATTGAGTTGTCCATTTAGCTACTAAGTGAACAGCAACTCTGGGATGGATGGTACATTCAGTTGATGAGTAAAAAAAATGGCACGAAACGCGCATCCTGAATTCCATTGACAACCAACACCCATCTCTACTTATAATATTTGTGACTTTAGATGATATCGAAGCAATCCTCACAAGATGTAAATATACTAAAAGAAACTGATCAATTGCAGTCCTCAATATAAAACAGAATAATATCACACGGGTTTTGTGGATATTATAGTAATTTCAATGGTTAAGATCATGAGTCAGTTGAAGCTAGACCACCATGGAAAGTCTGGAAGCACTGGACGGCCGTTTCGTTCTATTGTAGGACTCCTCAGCAGTTTCTATCCACGATCCCGCCTCGCGAGATTCCAACCCAGTACCTTCGACTTCTCATGCTAAGGCTTAATCTCCAGACCACTGAGCCGGAATCCAACAGTGTTAATGTCTAGCTTTAACTAATCCATGAAATTCAGCGAAACATCCACCATTGTCTTCAGTGAGTTACTATCACACAACAGACCTGGTTGAACTCCACTGGTCACTACTTCTCACTAGAACTTCAGGATAAACCTCGTGAAGCCAGTCACTAGTGAGCATATGTTGATTAATATCAGATTGGTTTTATGGATATTATAGTAATTCCAATCAGTCAGTCAGCTACAACGTAGAACCAGGCACATATATGCATCGGTCCAAGTTGCCATACCTCATTAACACAACAAGATGGACACCGGATTCATAACCATCCCGAACGCCGGTTAGCATTGCATGTCGTGGTAATCGGTGTTCGGGCATACGTGACACGTAGCCCAACCATCTCAGTCGATGAAGATTCACAACCTCATCGACTGATTTACCATCATTCCCTAATACCCTGCGTCTAACCTCATTATTACTTACCCGGTGATCCCAGCAGACGCCGGCAATATTTCTGAGGCATCTGTGGTCAAATACTAGTAGTAGTTTACGAGTAACTTCTACTCTTAATGGCCATGTTTCGCAGACGTAAAGTAGGACAGAACGGACTGCCGTGCAGTATATTCGTCCTTTTATTGATAGACGGATATCTCGCCTTCGCAATAGGTCATATAAATTGGCAAAAGCACAACGAGCTTTTCGAATCCGTGCTGAGATTTCGTCAGACACCAACCCATTAGGGCTGGTCAGACTTCCAAGATAAGTGAAGTTGTCAACGCGTTCGATTACTTCACTCCCTATCCTTAGTTCAGGTGTTGACGCAGACCAGTCCTGAAGCAACAACCTGCATTTAGAGGGAGAGAGTAATTTCAATGGTTAAGATCATAAGTGCTCGCGCGCGAAACGAGTAGGTTCTGGGTTCGAATCTCGCAGGGGGCGAGGTCATGGATGCGCACTGCTGAGGAGCCCCACAATAGAACGAAACGGCCGTCCAGTGCTTCCAGGTTTTCCATAGTGGTCTAGCTTCAACTGACTCATGATCTTAACGATTGAAATAAAACAGAATGGTAAAACAAACAATAAAAATGACCTTATAATAAAATTTCAGTGTTCTAATTCATTAGTGAACTCAATACGAATTTAAACATAATATACATTGTATATCATATACAGATTTTAAAATTCTAATTAACTCATTTGCATTAAGTTAACAATCTTCATTAAAAATAATAAACTACTTGTAGATAGAAAATAGCTTGTTCAATAGTTGTAATATCAGGAAACCATTTAATTATCCAATTGACTGCATCAATAGAGATAAAAGTATAATTAGGAAATGCATCAGTTGTAGTTGCTGAAATGAATGGTAAGCCATTGCTACCGGAAACATACAAAACCACAGAGAGAAAAGAAAAGGTATTAATTCGAGGAAAAACGAGTTATAAGTATACACAAGCACAAAAAACATGTGTTAGTTACAATTATTTAAACATTGAATAGAGAATAATCTTATATTTGTCAAGTCTTTTAGTGTTGACTAAATTCTATCGTTCAAATTGCAATGTGACCACTAGAATAAGTGTCTCAGTATAGTGTGCACTAAGATCTTAGGTAGTCAGAGGTATTTGAGAAGAAACACTGCTTGATCAAGGTTTTGTCTTTGTTAGCGTTCGTTAGAAAAGCTTGTCTGGGTTATACAGAGTATTTCAGTGATAACTCCTCAGAGTGTGAAAATGAGATTGCAGATAAACACTGCTCATGAAACCTTGGTCAGTTATAGTTTCCTACCAACGACCACTAACTAATTAACATCTCGGGACTTGCTGGTACATATAGTTTACGTAAACGTTCTATTCGAAAATAGTTCACTTCATGAATTGACCTTAACTAAATGATTTTTTTTAAATTGGGTACACTGAACACAGCTGTTTTATTCTCATAAAAGATTCCCCAACATCTGACACCTATAACTTTACCACGTATTGAAAACAAGAATTTCAGGCTTATTTATTCATTTATCATCTAGTGTAGTCTTATTTCATGATATCGAGGTCAAACGTAACAATTTTAATCACAATTAAACACAGATGATCTATTCAATTTAATTACTACAACGATTTATTTCTAATTATACAAATGTAACTTATTCACTGCATATAAGTTTATACAATATGAATGGATAAATGATGAGATTAGCTTGAACATCAACTGCTGAGATAAGTACACTCGAACTCCAATAAATGTACCATGATGATTGATTAATTTATTGAACATTATTCATTCCCTATGAAAATTCATCAGCAAATTTGGCAAAGAGGTTGGCGCAAACATGGATCCTTCAAAAGTGGAATTATTGCTCGAGCAGCAGCTAAAACTTATGCAGATGTTAGCCGATACAAAACTTAGGCCTAACACTCAACCAAGCACTTCTAATCCTACTACTACTGCACCGTCAGTTGATGGTATTTTAATTTTCATATCTGAAATCACAAGTCGATCCAAGATGGACTATCATTAAAAAGCTGCGAGCACTGAACGGCCGTTTCGTTCTGGTATGGGAACCCTAAGCAGCATGCACCCACGATTCCCTGCGCGGGACTTAAACCAGGGACCTTTGGTCTCGCGCGCGAACGCTTCTAGATATTCAGATATCCGCTTGAGACAATGGATGAAGGATTGCGCCAGATCATAAATTGATTTGAATTAGACATGAACAACGTTGGATGCCGGCTCAGTGATCTAAAGGTTAGGCGGTCGCGCGCAAGACCACAGGTCCTAGATTTACGTTCGTCGTGTGGGATCGTCGATACGCACTGATTCACAGCTTGACTTAAATACCTCATAATAACTTCAGTTTTTAATGAGTGACCTAATTTTTACAGTACAAAGTTGCTTTATAATGAATGATAACTGAAATAAATAACTTACTCATTATCAACCATCATTAAAGCTACTAAATAATAAGTGATATTAGTATTAGAATTAAATAAACTTGAATTAAAAATTGAAGTATTTTGTATTACTTGACCAGGATTTGTAAAAAATGATTGATCTTCAATATTTTGATATGATATTCCTGGGATATTAGGCAATGAAGTAGTAGAATAAAAACTATCTATATGAACAATATTTGATGAGTTGTTGATTGCATTTCCTCGATTAATTAGTTGTATATTATAGTCACTGGTTTCATTCAAAGAACCAGTTGTGTTAATTGATGTAATAATCGATGGTCGTGTATGAGTGACTGTAGTCAATAGATTAGTTTTAGATTTACAACAAGAATTTATAGTTGTATCACTTAAAATAGTTGCATTAAAACTGGTTGTTGTTGTTGTTGTTGTTGTTGTTGTTGTTGTCGTAGCACCACGATGAAGATCAGGTTTTTCTATAGTAGACTATAAGAAATATATAAATAAATGGAAAGAATAAAATTTCTAATAGAATCGAATTAAGACTGGTATAATTGAAAACAGAAAAGACATGGATGTTAATTATACAATAGTAGGAGGATATAACAACAGTCAGTTATAAGGATTTAACTCAATAGCTCATCAATTATAAGCAACTCATGATAATTCACTTGGCATTATTTGGCTTGAGGTTTAAGACTGCAATTGATCAGTCTGTTATCGGCATATGTGCATACTATGCGTATGCCTCGATATTGCCCTAATTCACAGGCTTTCTGTAAGCAATGGTGGATGGTAGCTGGCAGTGGAATCCAGGACGCGCGTTTCGTCCTATTTGGGACTCGTCAGCTGGATGTACCTGCATCTCAGAGTTGATGTTCGCTCTGGGATTCGAACCCAGTACCATTCGCTTCAAACGCCATCGCGTTATCAACTTGGCTACGGAGGCCTGATAGTCACTCATGATAATTTTTAATAAAAATTCACCAAGAAATCAACCGAAAACTTTAATCATATACTTATACTGTTGACTAACTTTGAGATAAATTATATAATTTCTAGTAAGAACTAGTGATTAAGAGGTGAATTTAATTAGTTCTATGCAGTAGGATGCTTAGTACTGATGACACACTGAATGATTAAAACACTATCAGAATGGGGGTTTGTGGAGATTTAAACTAGACTGCCATTGAAAACTTGAAAGCACTGGACGGCCGTTTAGTCCTAGTATGGTACTTCTTAGCAATGCTCATCCACGATCCCGCACGTGCGACTCGAACCCATAACGTTGAAAGCCGGTTCAGTGGTCTAGAGGTTAAGCGTTCGTGCGCGAGACCGAAGGTTCTGTGTTCGAACCCCGAGTGCAGGATCGTGGATGCGCACTGCTGAGAAGTTCCATACTAAGACTAAACAACCGTCCAATGACTTCAAGTTTTTAATGGTAGTCTAGCTTAAATCGACTCATGATTTCAATTACTTAAACATTTTATTTTATCATAAACAGACTGAAGTATGTGTACAGGATCGAATTTCAATTTATTAATCTAAAGATGAGAAGCTCATCACATAAAACTTAAACGTTTCATCTTTAGCTAAGTCGGAAGTGTACGTACTGGTAAAGAGTTTTAAACTAGAGTGAAATAGCTATTCAATGCTTTCTAGTTTTCACTAATTGTCTAACTAAAAACAATTCGTAAAGTAAATTATCTGACGTTAAAGAAAAAAGGGGAATTAATCCCCAATACAAACTAATAAAATTGATTTGTTTTTCTATATACCATATATATGATAACCGAATATTGAAGTAACCAAGTCAGAGGAAATGTATGCAAAACTGAACCTGTATGTTCAATTCTAGTCCATATTCTTCTTTTTAAATAAAACAATAAACAATAGACTAAAGCACAAATCGATTATTGTACTTAATAATTAATTGAACTATTCAATAACAATAGTTGGCAGTAAACAATATTAGTTGTCGGTTTATTTATACAGATATCTCCAACACTCTGTAGGGTATTTCTTATTGATGACTATATATATAATAGTTCCTATTAGTAAATAACTAAACAGTTTTATTAAGGCCAACTCTGAAGAATTAGAAATAGGTAGTTTACTGATACAGGGAACAATTTATTTATTAGGGGTTAGTAGAAGTCTTAAGATGATAGATTATTCACGATAATAAGTTAGTCAATGATATCAAGTTTACTATCATGGACACTGTGTGAGATCAAGTCTAGGCTATAGGTGGCATTATTTAAACACATAAACATTGGTACAAGGAGGCAACGAATAGATATGTGCCACATAAATCATTCGATTTGTGTAAGGGCTAGGATACTGCCCGGCTTCCTAAACTGAAGCAGGTAGTTTGCTTAGGAGGCTACAATTGGAGCCTTTGACCTAAGGGTCTGATCCACAAGGCAGTGGAGCAACGTTAGGAGATACAGTCTCATGGTAGCTGGTGACCAACAATAGTTTTATACTCCATTTGCTTCCTCTGGATCCTGGAGCCCATGTGAACCACTTGTTGGAACTAGGGTTTCCCAACTCCCCTAGATGGACTCTCCGTGTTCACCAACCCGGTTAAAGCGTCGGACATTCGCTTTTCGTTCTCTCAATTTCATAAACAACAATAATGCCGCGAGAAGGCAGTGAATATGATTTCTCTGAAGTGGTTGTATGCACGTAGCCATGTGAGAGAATTTGGGAAGGGAGATCTGACTCTTCCCACTCTCGGTCGTACCAGGGCATTTGGGGGCAATCTAGACTACTAGAATGACAGAAGTCAAGCGTGGTAATTGTATAATTTATATTACGAGCTGACTTCAGTTAGATAGCTATGAAAAATTAGGGAGCAGTATACAGCTGTTTCGTTACAGTATGAAGTACACTTCGGAAACTCATATTCACAACCCATCAGTGAGCGAACGCAGGAACTTCAGGCCTGACCATGAAAGATTAACCTGTGGATCACTTAACCGGTAGCTAATGGCTTATATTTCTAACTTCAGTGGAATCGCGATATTTCACATTTATTGCTTACTTCTATCGGTTGGTTAAACCTTATCACCAATATTTCACATTCGGAAGTAGAGAAACGAATGCTCAATATTTTCGTATTGATTAAAAACCATTCAGAAACCTTTATATATAGTATTTTCAATATCTTCCAAAAATAGATTCATTTTATCTGATTTATTATAAGTTAAAATTAAATTGAAGGTAGACCACCATAGAAAATCTGGAAGCACCGGACAGCCGTTTGTCCTACTGTGGGACTCCTCAGTAGTGTGCATCCACGATCCTGCCTCGCGAGATTCGAACCCAGGACTCATGATCTCAACTATCAAAATTACTACAATATCCACAAAAACCCCTTCTGATATTAAAATTAAATCTCTGAATGAAAGATCAAACTATGAAATGTCAAATAACAAAATCAAGAACAAACTTAAATTGAAAAAGCAAAGTTTATATCCTTGTTAAACATCAATTAAAATACATTTTTGTATTGATTGTTTGAATTTTCCATTGATGTTTAGGACTACAATTGATCAATCTCTTTTAGTATATGTGCATTCTGTGAGGATTGCCTCGATATCACCTTAAGTCACAAGCATTATAAGTAGAGAATGATGGTGATTATCAATGGAATCCATGATGCTTGTTTCGTCTTATTCGTGACTCATCAGCCGGATGTGCCAGAATCCTAGAGTTGATATAGGTACTCAGTCCTAGTGATTATCCCTGATAAATACTGATTAGCACAGAACTCTATTATATAAACTGTATACGTTATTATGTTTCGTCATTTTTTTCGATTACATAAATAATTCATCTATTATTTTTGGTGGAGTTTTGTCCTCTGAGCTAGATGGTTTGGTCGTGGAGCTTTCATCATTTTTCTGAACGACATAATCAGCACAAACTTCAGGCAGAAGTCAAGTGTTCGAATTTCTCCACATATCACTCACAGCCTATCCTGTTGACCTTGATTGGTTATTGTTGACCTTTAAACTGTTATTGTTTACTTTTTATGAGAGATACAACCAAAATAAAGAACTAAACAACAACAACAACAACATTGAGTTCTACAAGGCAAGCTGTGAACCAAATGTGGGGAAATTCGAACACTTTACTTCGACCTAAAGTTTGTGATGATGATGTCGTTCAGAATAACGATGAAAGCTTCACGACTAAAGTATCTAGCTCAGAGAACTAAACCACCAAAATCGACCACTTGAGCTACAAATCTTCTCCACCACCTCATGTTTGTTTTCTGTTATGTTTTTTTTGTTGTTGCAATACTATTCTTCTCAGTGATTGTTTGATTTCATTAATTACTAGAAATTTATAATTATCCAAAGAAAAAAAACTTAATTATAGTATAATGAATCATGAATAGACAACTTACTTGACGATTTAACTTTCGACTTGTTATGGGTGTACGTCGTATCCGATTAATTGATTCAATAAAATGAACAAATTTTTCACAAGTTTTTTCACGATTTATATTTACATAATCGAATTCATAGACATCACATTGAATTCGTTGACCAGTGATATGATTACTTTAATCATTCATATTAAATGAGAAAGAAGAAGGGCAAAGAAAAAGAAGGAAAAAAAAGAGAGAAACATTCAACAAATCAAATGAGTAGTATTAGTAGTAGTATATAAGTGTTAAAAAAGATGATAAAATGAATTTTTGTGAATTGAATGTTATTTTCTTTTCTTTCAATCAGTTTTATAAAATATTTTGTTCTTAGAATTGGGTGATTTAATCGTGAAACTTTCATTGTCTTCTTCAAAAACATTTAAAACAAAACATTAAACCCCAAATGATCTGGTAAGGTCGAAAGTGGAGAGAGTCAGCTCTCTCTCTCTTTCGACATGCTCTCACATGGCCGCGCGAATACAATCACTGATAGGCAAGTCCTACTCACTGCTTTCTCGTAGAGAGGGTGTTGCTTACGAAATTGAGAGGACGAAAAGCAAATATCCGGCAATTTAACCGGTTTGATGGATAAGGAGAGTCCACTTAGGACAGTTGGAAAATCCCGACTCCAAACAAATGGTGCACATGGGCTCCAGTCTCCTGAAGGAACAAGTGGTGTTTGAACCTATTGTTCGTCACCCGCTACCATGAGACTGTATTTCCTAACGTTGCTCCACTGCCTTGTGGATTAGACCTTTAGGTCAAAGGCTCCGGGTGCGACCCTCTAAGAAATCATTTGGATGACTCATCTGCATGATGATTACATAACTTTCTAAAACTAACATAACTGCATAACACAAATCGCATTATTGGAATATACAAGATTAAGCGAGAAGCCTAATGAAATATGAATAAGTATTTCATTTAATAGGGCACAGATTAAACAGAGTACAGATTTACCTAATTAGCTTTCGAGAGATGGCTTGTATAAGAGCTAATAATATTGCCCAGTTTCCTAAACCGGAATAGGCGAAGAAGAGTTCAAACCTAGGACTAACTGACTAAAAACTAAATGCTTTAGCTATTAATACAGCACTCCATTTTAAGTATTACTTTCTACAATATGTTGAATGACATTCAAACAGGCGAGAAAGCTGCTGTTGAAAACGACAATAAAAACTTCACTCAGAGAACATAACACAACCAGAGGTATCTATTGAAGCTGAAAATCTTTTCTGTCATTTAGAAATAGCACATTATAAACTGGAAATTACTGGTCATGTGATAAACCTGGCTTATTCCAAATAATTTGACCAGTCATACAAAAATCTCACGATTTTCTCAAGATGAACCCAGAGTTTTTAACTGACTTATTACAATTTGTCGTTATATATGTGAAAGAAAAAGAATAGCTTAATAAACAAGTACTAATGTGTAAACAGCCTTTTGTACTTTAAGCTAGTTAGATCATATCAAGGATTATGACATCATCATTTTCTTTCTTAGCATAAGTAATCTTCTTTCCCATTGGTGATCGATATTTTCATTACGTAATGAAATCAACTAACATCGATCACAATGATTTCGACCAACTGGAAATTGTTACATATAGTAGTTTCAATGTAAAGTGTAACGTTAACTTTAACCTTAAATCAAATCTAGTAAACTAGAAGCATAATGTATATTTAAAGAAGTTGAAGCTGTGGTTTACTGGTTAAAACGTCCAGCTTGCAGCTGCTACGCCCCAGCGATCAGGGAGTATCCCTAGCCCTCATACCAAGATTGTGGTTTATATCAAAGTACCTAGTAAATGAGCTAATTTATCATGTTTTTTTAAGATTTAATCAAGTACAGATTATATTTAAACATGATGGTTATAAAAATAAGTGTTTAACTTGAACATACTTTTCATCTTGAATTGAGAATACTTAATAAAGCTTTTAAGAAAAGCCGTAAAGGGTACCATTCTATTCTTATTATCGATTATCAATCGCTACCCATTCACTAATATGAATAATAATCGGGACTATTAACAGTACGATGATCGTACCAATTCTCAAGCTGATCGAAATTGGAAAATATTGACTATTCGATTGGAACTTAATGTCTAAATAGCATCACTGATTCTGTGTAGGGTGTTAAGCGTTTATACCATTGATGCTGAAAGCCAGGATCAAATAGATATCTAATGTTTCATGGATTTTAATTATTCTTCACCCAATATCTATCTATCTTTAAATCATTTTTATCAAACAGAATTTACATTTAACTTACAATGATCTATTTTTTCATAGACGATTCTATTTGGGTATATTTTCACAACTTACAGGACATGGATGAAATAAAAACACGGTTGGATTTGAAAGGTATTCTATTTGAAGATAGTTCACATTACTGATCGACTTTAGAAAACAAAGAAACCACTGTAAACAGGGGATTATGGGAGAGACATTTATCACACGACCTCTCCAACAACCGTGTCCAAGACCTAATGGATTTACGGTAACTATGCTCTTTAATAAAAGTCATGTGTTGACTGGTAAGAAACTTTGAGACATATTGCTGAAGTTCTAGTGACAAGACCTGACAGGAGGGTTCAATCATAATGACAATTATTACTGGTGATAATGGGTGATAGTAATCCACTGATCAAGTTAGAAATATAGACTACTAGATGTTCGGATGTAATGTATTCACCAAGAAGCCCAGAGGTTCTGTGTTTAGTCTTTATGGAGCCTTCGGTCGGCACCAGAAGGAATTCCTATACAAAGTTGAAACATCTGTCCAATATCCCTTCATTTTTAATGGTTCTCCAGTTTCAATCGAACAACTTAAACAAGCCCCTAAATTTAGTAAATTCAAAAACTTCTTACATCTCATAATATATTATTGAATACTGATAGATTTATTTTTAAGAGATAGGTTCTAGCTTTATTGAATACTTACTCACGGATAGCTTCAGCTAAACGCCGAGTTTCATTGCTGAAAATTGGTATTACAAAGAAACGACTTCGCCAAAATTTGAGATTCTAAAAACAAAATAAATTTAGGATAGAAACTGTAAATAAAAATTGATAGTTTACATCACGAACTGAGTTTATTTCGAAAATCATTGGGGACTAGAGAGCATTCGACAATTATTTCATCCTGGTATATGATTCTTCATAAATGTCCAAGCACGACTCGTCAGGAATCGAGCCAAAGACCTTTACATCAAGTGGTAAATACTTAAGCGTTAGACTACTGATTTGCTATCTAAAGTTACACATTTCAATCTAATCATAATTCCCCATGTAATGTGACGATAATCCAACAAAACAAAGATAGTATAAACATCTTCAGGAAGAAAATGTGAACCTCTTATGTCTCATATCAACGTGCAATATTTAACTCTAAACTGTTCTCCTCGCATTGATGGATCATCTGAAACCGATTTACAGTGAGAACAGAAAGTAAATGAAAAAGTGCACACACTTCTTTTCTCTCTCTCTCTCTTACGCATATATATACAAATACCTTGTTCGTCTGAAATTTTCATCGTACACCAAAAACAAAATAAAATACCAGCAACAGTATTGAACAGTTCCATTGTGTGTATCCAAGTATACTCTCCTAATTTTATACTTATACATTAGGTGAAATAGAAATCAAATATTGATCACAAGTAATTTGAAACATGTTTCAAACATGAATCTGGTAATAAGTATACATATTATCACTAACAACAATATGATTATTATCACTATTATATTGAACAATCAGAACAACAACAAAAACGGAAGATATAAATAAGGCTTGTACATAGACAAAACATATTTAGTACAATGATAAAATATAAGCTGATTCATTGAAATAACGATAAAGGTTCAACTGATGTCGAAATAGATGAAAATATTTACAATTTACTATTATCAAATAAAAACCCAGTGAAGTTAATGCAGCTAGAATAACAATAAGAGATTAAATGGAATAAAAGAGAAAAAATGTTATAAACGATACAATCAATATTTTTTATAGAATATATGGATTTTAGTTAGGAATGGAATCCAGAAACTGAGTTACATCCTTGTTGAAGCACATGAACTAAATGTAGAAATAGTACACTTCAGAATAATCTGATTATTGTGGAGTCTACTAGTGGATAAAGTTATTATCTATCACTTACGCCTGCTACATCTTGTGGAAGACAATAGGTCACATACCAGTATTTTCCGTATTTTCCTGGACAATCCTTTTCATGTCTGATTCCGATTCTCGACTCTCTGTGTTCTTTGGCCTTACACCTTTCCGTTTCCCTTCATGATTTCAAGATAGCGCTTGCCTAGTGATGCAATTTGATGATTTCCGTAATGTATCTCCTTTCCACTTCCATCGTCGTTTCCTAATTTTCCTCCTCAGCTGGAAGTTGGTTTGTTCTCTCCTATAGTGGATTGATGTTGATAGTATCCAGTCAATGGGACATTCAGTATCTCGTGTAGACAATTGTTTATAAATACTTTTACCTTTTTGATGATGGTTGTAGTAGTTCTTCACGTTTCAATTCCGTACAATAGAACTGTCTAGACATTTTTATTGAAGATTCTCACCTTTATGTTCGCTTGCGGACAGTTATTTCGAATTCCATATGTTCTTCAACCGTAGGAATACTGTCCTTGTATTGCCAATCCTCACCTTTACGTCTGCATGAGATCCTCCTTGTTAATCAATGACGTTGACAAGGTACGTGAAAGATTCCGCATCTTCCAGAGCTTCTGCATCAAGTGAGATTGGGTTGGTGTTCTCCATGTTGTATTCGAGGAACTTGGATTTTCCCTTGTGTATGTTGAGACCTACTTCTCTAGGAGCTACTGATAGACTGGTTGTCTTGACTTGCATTCGATGGTGTGTATGGGATGGAAGAGCTAGGTCATCTGTGAAGTCCAAATAGTCTAGTTACATCCAAGCTGTCCATTATATTCCATGCTTCCTCTTATGATCCATTAGCTTAACTAAATTGGACTTTCTCTCCATATAAACGTTAACATTTTATTTCAGTCGGAAAAGAAATTGGTTAATCTATTCTATGGACATATTATGACATGATAGTGTAGTGGTTTCAAGACTCAGTTTTCAATTAATAAGTAAGAGATCCGAAGCTCTTCACAGAAAATTCAGTTGAGGTATTGGAGAGGTATCATTAGTTCTTACTAAAACAAAATCAGATCATTCTACTCTCTGTATATGAGAAGTAGGTTTCAAACGAAGTTCACACAAAAGCAGACATTCAAATCTTAACCCAAAACGTGAATAATAAGGATCAACTCTAAAAGAACTGAGAAACGTCGATCCGAATGAGTAATGTATATAGGTTCTGCATATTGAGATAAATAAATGGAATATAAACCTGATGTCTTCGTTTTCTTACATGAAACTGTGATATCAGATGTTTCTTCCAAGTAAATGGTTTCATCAATTAATCCTACACCTCATTCTCAAGATCATGATTCACAGCTCTATCTGTGCTAATTTCAGTTGCTTGATAAGAGATGTTTAAGTAAATGGAATATACCCAATAAAAGGCGATGGTATGGTGAAGGGTTCTCTTTTCGGCAAATTCATTTTCAAAGCTGTACAATTGCAAATATATATACTTATTTTTTTCAGAATGATAATAAGTACAGTAATAGTGATAACAGAATTCTGTTAAACATGGTAACAGTGAGGTAGAACAAACAAAGGTATTAAAAACAATAATTTCTAGTCAGGGAAACTAATAATAGTTTTATTGTTAAAGACATAGCAATGAGATCCCTTATGGGTCCTTTACTAGCAGATTGCTTCATGACCAGTCTAGAATATAACCAACTTCAAATGACTATCGACAATTTCCACTTGTATAAAAGGTACGTTGATGATATTTTTATCATTCGTGACAACAAATATGATTTGAGTCATCTTTTAAAGGCATTTAATAAGTCATCTATCAATAAATTTCACAGTTGAAGTTGTAAACAAACAAAATATTCACTTCCTTGATGTAGAAATGACTAGAAAATATGACGGAACTGTAAGATCTATCTACAGGGAACCACTTAATAATCTCTACAAACCCTGTACTAGTAATCAACATGTGCTCACTAGTGACTAGCTTCGTGAGGGAATTCTCGGAGTTCTAGTGAGAAGCCGTGACCAGTGTAGCTAATCCATGTCGGGTAGAGACAGGTATCTACCTCAGTACAACGGAAGTTGGTCGCGCAATTTCGTGGATTGGTTGATGTTAGACACTATCACGATTGGATGCCGGCTCAGTGGTCCAGTTGGTTATTATTATTTTCCCTGACAAAAAATAGCGTTTTAATGCCTTTGTTTGTTTTACCTCACTGTTACCAGAATCTTATTGTCACTAAAATTGTAATTATTATCATCTTGAATTAATGAGTATAGATATTTGCAATTGCACAGCTTTGAAAATGAATTCGCCGAACAAGAGAACTTTTCACTGAATCGATCTTTCTTTATTTAATAACTTTTTAGTTGCCTACTAGTCCCCTAGAATCACATACACTTTAAACCTGAACGATAATATGGAAAGAAGCATTACGTCCAAAGTTAGTTTATGTACAGAAAGCAAAAAGTATTTATAGGACCGATTATAACTTTGAAATAATAAAAGCTTCTGGAAACATTCTAAAATTGGTAAGATAATTAATAAATTTCCGATTAAGATAGTGGGAACACAATCAGTAGTTTTCTAAAATTCTCCACGAACTTTCTAATGAATACTAAGTTGTAGACGCATTTACAACATTTTCCTGGTGTCACAATTGATTGATCACTGGGTGGTGATCAATGTCATGTGTGTAAAGATCGAATGCTATCGACCATGTTGCAATGTGGCCACCAGTCTTGGTGACTCGACACTACGTGCACTATTGTGAGATTAGATGGTGGTTGGAGGTAGTCAACAGAAAATCCTGCACATGGGTTTCGTGCTACTTGACACTCGTCAGCAAGATGTACCTGTAATCTTCAGGGAACTGGTGCTCCCTGACGAATTCGATCCGTCTGGTGTCTCCGAAAACATGTTCGAGAAGTTATCAGGTCTTCTAACAATAACAACAACAAAAAGAAAACAGTTGTTTAATGCCCTTATAATAGTTTGAAGTGGCTTTTCAACCGATGTCAGCTTGTAGTGTGAACAAGTTTTGCTATTTTCAAGTTTATTTTATAGTGGACATATTGTAAAATAGCTTGTAATAAAAGATTTATGATTATCACGGTATGTATAATTGATGAATAACACTTTACCTTAAAATGATGCTCCCTCTAATTATATAATTTGTGTATACCATATACTTCTACATTATTAACATTAATGTCATAAATGTTCGCCAAAAAATAATTTATGGATAGCATTTGTTCATGTGATATACGCCAATAATGGTTTCAAATACTTTCTCCTTTCTGTATTAACCTAACAATACCAGCAAATTAGAGTGCGTGAGGTGAACGAAGACTTCAGTAGGACCTAAACTAGTTATTTGTCAGTTCCTGTACAGTTTTACATTAGTACATAACTTGTAGGAAGGTAGGAAAAACATACGAACATTGTCATTAATAATAATAATGATGGTTAATTAAAATATGGATGAGACAGAAACTCAATTCATGATCAACATATAACTTAATATGAATTTGTAATGGTACAAATGATCATTAGCATGATAAAATGAATTTAAAAAGATGAATAGTACAGAAATCAAAATAATCTAGGAGCAATGATCAATAATTGAGAATAACCAGGAAGAATATGGTTTGAAAAGATAAAATAAAAAGATATGAGATGAAGGACTATTATATTTTAAGATAAAGAAAAAGATTAAATCTTAGAGGATAGAAGAGTGTTTAAGTAAAGTTATTCATCAGTCAATCAGTAACAACGTAGAACTTCGTACGTACATACATCAGTTCGAGTTGCCATACCACATTACCACACAGATACAGTTGTCGATTCAAATCCCATAGTGGTAGAGGTAGTAAGGTATAAGCTGTGATAGGAAAGATTAGGGTTTGAAGATGTTATTCAAGGAGTATAAATTTGGAAAGAGAAAAAAGAAGGGACACGAAGAATTCAGAAGATTCATAGGCTACGGGGTTAGGATGTCTTCAAATGTATACATAGCTCAAATAAATAATCAACGTGATTTTCTGAACTATTTTGATCTGATCACTCTCACCACTACTTTTTTCACCTAATGATATTCTTAACAGTATAATAAGTTGAAGTAGCTAATGGATAGACATTTGAGACTTATGTGCTTCGATAATATTATCGATTGATATGTTCTATAAAATTAGCATTTTCGTAACGTATCTGTTCATAGACTATAAACCATACTATTGTATTAGGAATGTTATAATTAACTGCAGCATTTTTTTTACATTAGTTATTATAGATGAATCTTATATTGTATTAAATAGCAGGAAGTATAAAGATCAAGGAAACGAAAGTCATCCTATATATAATTAAACACTAATACCAAGTATATCATTGTATTATTATCATTATTAGTAATACTGGACTCATAGAGAATGTTCTGTTTAAAGTTAGCTATCATATCACGAACTGACATCATTTGGATAAGTGTTGGAGCAAGTGTCAATCAACTCAGAATCAAACCTATCCGCCTTCACACTTGAGAGTGGAAAGCATATTAAATTTATATTATCGCATCTGATGGAATCCAGTAGTTCATATTTTCAACATCCATCACTCTTCCCATATTACAGAACTATTATTCGATCTTAAACTAATAATATCTGTTTAATAAAATGGACGAACCTCAGTACGAGGGTTGTGTATATATCGTTTAGACCAAACATCATATCTGTTGAATGATGATACAAGCCGGGTAGTAAAACTGAAGTGGAGCAAAACTCAAACATTTAACTATCTGATCAAAAGCTAGGTATATCAGCCAGTAAGCTACTGTTATATGAGGGACAAGTCGGTTTAGTTCTGTTTGAATTAAGTGCTGATAACATCATCCTCAAACAAGACGATAACAACAGGAAATATTCATTGAAACTATGCACTTTCTTGTTCTTTGTATAAATTCACTTAAAGTAAAATTCACGTGATTCTCAAATCATGAAAATAAAAAAGAAGAAATAATAACAAATTATAATGGAAATATACATAGGCAAGCAAGATATAATGCATATGAATTACCGGAGTAATCGAAATGAATCACTAATTCCACGATTACATAAATAATTATCCAGATAATTCCAATTCAAGATAACTGTTGAATCACTTGTAAAATTAGTGTGTAATGAAACATAAGATTTTGCATCTGGAACTTGTAATGCATATGAATAAGTGATTTTAATAAGTTTATCTATTTCCCTAAAACAAAGATGAAAAAAAAAAAGTTATTTACTATATATTTTTTGATTCAAATCAACAGTAAGATGCAGAGAATATTGACAGTTCTTTCATTCCAGACTAAGGTAACATGGATGGATCGGAGGTTACAATGACATATACGGTCAAACTATGAAATCAAGCTATGATACCATTAAAACGATATATAATAGTCGACATGTTTAACTATAGCCAATCTGTACATATAACATATTTACTAGTTGCACCACACTTCATGTATGAAGAATAGTGATATCGTCCGGCTGTCTAAACTGATAGGGTGTAGAGGGACTAAAAATCGCGGACTAAGAGTTGAAAGTCAAACACTTTGATCACTAAGCCATTACTTCACAGGTCAATTTGTAGTATATATATGTGAAAATGATAAAGATCTGTAGTCCAAAAGGGTGGTTTTTGATAAAATTGTGTTCCTTAAACACAAAAGATTGTAATTTCAATAGTTGACATCATGAGTCAATTCAAGCTAGACCACCATGGAAAGTCTGGAAGCACTGGACGGCTGATTCGTTTTATTGTAGGACTCCTCAGCAGTTTCTATCCACGATCCCGCCTCGCGAGATTCAAACCCAGTACCTTCGACTTCTCATGGTAAGGCTTAACCTCCAGACCACTGAGCCGGAATCCAACGGTGTTAATGTCTAGTTTCAACTAATCCACGAAATTGAGCGACACATCCACCATTGTCTCCAGTGAGTTACTATCTCACAACAGACGCGGTTGAATTCCACTTCTCACTAAAACTCTAGGAAATATCTCTTGGAGACCGTCATTAGTGTGAATATAATGATTATAATCAGAGAAGGGTTTTCGTAGATATTATAGCAGTTTCAATAGTTGAAATCATAAGTCAATTGAAGCTAAATCACCATAGAAAACGTGGAAGCACTGGATGGCAGTTTCGTTCTATTGTGGGACTCTTTAACAGATTGTATTGATGATGGTGTCTAAAAAAGACAATGAACGATTCATCAGTAAAACTATCCAACTTACCCAGTTACTTGAACCAAATTAGCTGATTTGGGGATTCAAACCTATTACCTAATCCTACTAACCACTATGACTACTTTTAGTCAGATGGATAAAGTTACCTTTATTAACAATAACCAGATAAATATAATAATACCACTAGCTAATAAGTTACATGAACAGTGAAAAAGATAATAACCAAATGGTAATAATTATTAGTAGTAGTAAACAAAAGGGAATAGGCATGATATAATAAGAAAGAAATAAACAACAACAAAAAAAACAATTATCCTCAACGAACCGATAACTTGTCACACCAATTGAATCTTCATCCAATGAAATTAAATGAAATAAATGACCAATACTTAATTTACGAGTATTTGTTGTCTAAATAGAAAGGGAAAGAGAGAGAGAGAGAGAGATGGGGTTAGTGAGTGAGAAAAAAATGAGGAGAAAAACTGATGAAAATACTTTATTTAAAACAGAAATAATTAACTCCTCTATGTAATAACACAAAACAACATAGAAAAAGTTATAAGAATGGGTTTTGTGGAGAGTTTTAGAAATTTCACAGGTTGAAATCACTAGTCGACTGAAGAAATGGTGTACGGTGGCGCAACTTCGTGGATTGGTTGAAGTTAGACATTAACACCGTTGGATGCCGGCTCAGTGGTCTAGTGGTTAAGTGCTCGCGCGCGAAGCCAGTAGGTCCTGGGTTCGAGCCCCGCGTGGTGCGGGATCGTGGATGCGCACTGCTGAGGAGTCCCATGCCGGGACGAAACGGCCGTCCAGTGCTTCCAAGTTTTCCATGGTGGTCTAGCTTCAATCGAATCGTGATAGAAAAAGTTGTAAACAAGAACCGTAAATAAATTTTGAGGTATACATAATAATGATAATAATAGTAATAGTAATAGTATAATAATAATAATAATAATAATAATAATAATAATAATAATAATAATAATAATAATAATGGCAATAATAGTAGTAATAGACTAATAAGCTTACCAACATCAAACGTAGATGATAGGAAGACTATGTGCATACAACTAACGATGTAATTCCATAGAGGACAGGAAGAGAAAAGATGTACCATACAAAATAATATATACGATAAGTAGATTTAAAAAATTAAACCAATTTGACGATACAGTAGTTACTTATACAAATTACAATTACCTACATTACTATATATGAGGATACTGATGCTGCTACTGATAATGATGATAAATATCCATTGAGATTTTTGCTTAAGTGATTAATATATAGTGAAATATGGAAAATGGTTTGCCATTTTATTTATTTTATTTAACGTTTATATGATCTGATATTACAACATTTAGTGTCCAAAATACATCTGAGATACATTAACCTCTTCTTATTATGGATTGATTTTTTAGCTGATCCTTAGACTGTAACAGTCTTTGATCAGTTATAATTCGTGCTGATATTTTGTCAGATATTATCCTGTTAAGGTCGATGATAAGCAAAGCAGCCGACGTGGTCAATTACTTCATTCTCTACCACTAGTTTAGGCACTTAAAAAGGATAATCTTCGATATTTAACCTTTGAATGGAAATCGTAAGAGTGAAAAATATTCAAAAAAGTTTCTCCTTCAAAAGATCATTTTTATAGGGAAAACAATGGTATATATAGGCAATCCTCAAATTGTAGGGTACTTGGAGAACATAGATTGAAATTAATAACACGTTTGGAGATTTCTCAACCAGATTTGAGTCATACATTAAACTTTTTACGGAAGCTTTCAAAGGATGTTGATTACTCAAAGAATTAATGACATTTCGCCTAGCTTCTGGAGAACTTTTCAATGAATTATAGACGACCAACAACAATTTCCTGAAGTACGACTAATCAAATGTATATAGAGATGGTGGACTATGGGCTAAAAGTCAATTGTGGGGGTGGATAAAACGATTCAATTGATCCTCATCTTGTTTAGTACACAGAGTAAATTTGATACTTATTTATTTTAACACATAGATATTGGTACAAGGAGGCACCGAATACATATGCGTCACACAAGTCTCATTTGATATATGTGAGGGCTGTGATACTGCCCGGGTGGACAAACCGAAGCAAGTGGTTTTCTTAGGGGACCACACCCGGAGCCTTCGACCTGAAGGTCTGATCCACAAAGCAGTGGAGCAACGTGAGAAAATACAGTCCCATTGTAACCGGTGACCAACAATAGGTTCATATACCATTTGTTACTTCAGGATACTGGAGTCCATGTGTACCATTGGATTGGAATCAGGGTTTTCTAACTCTCCTAGGTGGACTTTCTATGCCCACGAACCCAGTTAAAGCGCCGGACATTCGCTTTTCGTCCTCTCAATTTCGTAAACAACACCCCCGCCACAAGAAGGCAATGAGTAGGACTTCCCTGGCAGAGGCTATATACGCTTGGCCATGTGGGAGCATTTCTAGAGGGAGAGTGGACTCTCCCAACTCTCGGCCATACCAGGGCATTTGATACTACAAACATGAAAATGTCGAATTATGACCAATGATGGACAGTAATAGTAATTCAATAATCTTAATTGAATACCTAGTTAGCATAGCAGCTATCAAACAACTAGATAACATGGAATGGATGTCATATTACGAAACTCATACAGTGAAAATAAATCAGTATTTGATCAGAGCTTATTGTTGGAGGAATTTCATTAGTTATCAATAAATGAATAATAGAATTTGTATGAATCTTCATTGAATGCAAATAGTACTTTGTCTATTACAATGATAAAGATGAAATTATGATCAAAATGTAAAGTGGTAGATTGCGTGTTGTTGTATATCGAGATGACCTGTACGATTCATACTGATTCACATAAAAAAAATATATGAGAAATGTTGTTTTCAATTAGATCCTCATCATACTTAAATATATATGAATAGTTATACTAATGCATGAACCAATACTGAACCAATCAAGGTAATCGATGAGTCAATAATAACATTAACCGTCATCATATTATCGATATGTACTTTTCACTACTAGGGTTTAGTTACTCTATTTCGTCATTATCAATGATTCGCTAATTTCAATGGTTAAGATCATGAGTCAGTTGAAGCTAGACCACCATGGAAAACCTGGAAACACTGGACGGCCGTTTCGTCCTATTGTGGGACTCCTCAGCAGTGCGCATCCACGACCTCGCCCCCCTGCGAGATTCGAACCCAGCACCTACTGGTTTCGCGCCTGAGCACTTAACCACTAGACCACTGAGCCGGCATCCAACGTGTTAATGTCTAACTTCAACTAATCCACGAAATTGAGCGACACATTCACCATTGTCTTCAGTGAGTTACTATCTCACAACAGACCTGGTTGAACTCCACTGGTCACTACTTCTCACTAGAACTCCATGGTGGTCTAGCTTCAACTGACTCATGATCTTAACTATTGAAATTACTACAATCTCCACAAAAAAAAACCATCTGATTCGCTAATTGTTTCGATTGCTTTAATATTTTCATATACCATATCAATATTTATGTATATTATTATTCGCGTATATCAACTTAATGAGGATCTCATTAGGAACAATATTTTTCGCTTATTTTTATTGTTCTTTTATGTCAAAGATTACTAGCTATTATATTGTACAGATCTTGTAAGATCAACAGGAAACTGTATAGTGAAACACAAGCCAAGTTTCGCTTAGATCACTGAAGTTAGAAATGTCGAATGCTGGATGTAAATTCGATGGTCTTAAAGTCAAGCATTCGTCCAGAAGCCTAAAGGTCCTAGGTCCGACCTCTAAGTCGGATCGTGGATGTGAGTTTCTGAGAATTTTCATACTAGGACGAAATAGCCATTAAGTGCTTACTAGTTCTCAGTGGTACCCTAAATAAAGTTAGTCCGTGATGCGAGACTAAAGAAAAGACTTGAACTTAGTACTGAAAAAACCACTGCTTACATGTATCATCGCACATAATTCCTTATTGATAAGCAAAGGATGAACTATGTGATAAAACTCAGTTACTTAGATCATTATCATTAAATAACGCACAAGAACTCAAGTAGTTTCATTTTTGACATAGTTTTCTTCAAAAGAATGAATAAATGAGAATAAACTAGACTTAGTCGACGTTTATATGCAACTGTTCTCCTGTATATTTAATATGGAATGAAATCCATAAACTTTATCATTTATCGAGTATACATTAGTGACTACAACGTACAATGACTCTGTGCACTTAATGAGATTCGAAAAAATATACCAGTTTCTATGAAAGCTTAAAAATTACCCCGAGATTCATATATTTGCCTCTGAGTCACGCATCAAGTGTAAAGGCTAGTGATATCATACGGGTACTTTAGCCAAAGAAGATAGCACGTGGGTTCGAAACTGTGATTGAATGGTTGAAAGTTGAATACCCTAACCACTGAGATACTGCTCCAAGTAAACTGTTTGGATCATTCAAACACATCCTACTATACAATAAACATGTGATGAGATAAACTTAAAATCATGTATAGATTAAATAAATAGGTTAGAAAGAACTGCTACGATGTTGATGGAAATCTGATGAGAGTAGAAAAACTCCATAAATATTTGTCTTTATGAAGATTTTCAGAAGACTGAACTCATGGTTGATTTAAGGGTCATAACTAATGATTTTATAACTCACTAACTAACTCCTTACCACACACCTGATAACTTTTTTCGTTTTTTAACACATGTTACTATTTCATTTTTGTATTGGTTGATTGAATCTTCCCACTGATGTTTAGGACTGAAATTGGTCAGTCTCTTATTGGCATATGTACATCCTGTGAGGATTGTTTCGATATTGCCCTAAATCATAAGCACTATCAGCAGAGGTGGATGGATGGTGGCTAGCAGTAAAATCCAAGACGCGTTTCTTCCTGTTTGGGACTCGTTAGCTGGATGTACCTACATTCCAAAGTTGATGTTACTACTGCTGTAAAGCAAATGACTTAACATACTATATTCATGACTTCTCATTGGAATCTTAGGTAATTTACCAATGAATACTGAGAATTTATTTCAATAATTTAGTTAAAGAGATGTTAAGGACTTTGGTTTAATTTGTAAGTTGGAATCATTATGGATTGATCTCATTCTGAGAACTATCGAAAATCAGGAATAATTGAAATCCTATTTCGTCCTAATATGAGACTTATCAGCAATGAACATCCAAGACTTTGGCAGGGACCCTATTCATGACCTTTATGTCCCACGAGCAATGCTTAACTATTCAAATCATATGATTGGCTTTCAATTTTATCATTTCAAACTCAACCAAGTTAAGATACAGAATGACGATTATTCAATTCTATTGTTGATAACTATTTCATTACACAAAACTAAGAGTATTCCATTACTATTAATCA